ACACACCTAAGGCTGTGTTCGGACGTCCATTTTCCCAACCTATCTCCCTCGTTTTCCGCGCGCACGCTTTTCAAACTGCTAAACGGTGTGTTTTTTGCAAAAAGTTTCTATACAAAAGTTGCTTAAAAAATCAAATTAATCTATTTTTAAAAAAAATAGCTAATACTTAATTAATCACGCGCTAATGGATCGCTCCGTTTTCCGTGCTACTGTTCCAAGTTGGGAACAACCCATAGCGAACACAGCCTAAGTCTATTATGAATGATCTGATGTGCATCATACAAGTAGTCTCATGGTTCAAAAAAAAAAAAAGTAGTCTCATAGACAGCAAACAAGTCTAAACCAAATTTGAGTTTCGGATGCAATTTCAGTTGATACAAGCCGATGAATTGAAGGTCCAAACAGTTACTAGAATGCAAAAAGCATGATGAATTAAAAGCACTATACTATCCCCAAATACTGATCTCACATGTGCACTTTGTAAAGATAGGCAGCTGAAAACCAGATAGCACCTAATCTTAGTTCTTGGAGGTCATGTGATTGAGATGTGGGTTTAAAGAGTATATATAGCAGAAGCCAGAAGGGCACGTAAGTTGCGTACAATAGTTGGTCCACAGTATTGACTCATGAGTCATGAACAAGCCTGTCATGTCAGGCGAAGAGTCTCTCTGAGTCACGTAATCTGCTTATGTTTGTTTCTGATGCTATGAATCTTCTTCTAACCAAGTAGCCCATACTAGGGGTGTTCTTATTGGGATAATTGGCCAGAGTGGGCAATTGCTTATACATATGAATTAAATATCACATAATATGAACCTATAGCTTATACAAAATTATCTGGACGATGCTAGCATAGAAAGTTTTTTGCCATAATTCCATGAGCCGAGAAGAACGGAGCCATGTCTTACTCCTGTACATATGAGAAGGTGAGAGGAGCCAAGAGCTCATTAGCTGTTTGATGATGAAATATCATGAGAAAGAGATGCACTGAGAATTTGAGTTGGAGAAAATACTATTGGTGTGGTGAGCAATTAAATACGGTCAGATCTGTGCATTCAGCAACGATTGAAATTTAGGGTCAAATCATTTTATCCCCTTTGATTATTTTTGTTCATAAATGAAATATTTTCAGAATTATGTTCCTTATTAAGAAGCTACTAGCATGCAAGTACGAGAACGCAATACACTAGTAGTAAATTTGGAATAAATCTAACGCGATGAGAATAGAATGGATCGAAAATGAAAACTTGTGGCATGCCAGAAAGGAGGCAAAACTAGAGGTAAAAAAAAGATGGAGTAAAAACTCGGGAAATTTTCTCATGGGCTTCATTTTATTGAGTCGATATGCCGTCCCATCCCTTCTTTCTATATAGTGGTACCCACTAGCTATAAAGCTGCTTTGAGAATTAGCCACGTCACCCCAATTAACTGAGACCGTTAGATCTTAAATCAACGCTTCAAGAGTGCACATGGCGCTACCATCTACGCCAATCAGGCCCAAATAAACAGGTTCCTGTCGTTGGCCCGTTGTTATTAAAGTCCAGCATATTCGAGTATCTATTTCGCATCATGAAAGCCACTTGAAAGAGGAATTACGCACAAAAAACTGTCATCACTAATGTGAAGATCAGAGGTCATCCTTAATTCCATTTATTGATTTCCAATCTCCACCTAAGCCTCTCTCAATTCTTCATTATCATCCACCTCGATCGATAGGCACAGTACGTAGACACCAATCTATTAAGTTTGGCCCAAAATAATTTTAGCCGACCTTGTGCTAATTAAACTCTATATGTAAGTCTAATGGCATTCCCTTGCCTTCCTAACATTTATCTTAATCAAGTTTATGCCTTAATTACCACTACCAATAAAATGAACCGTTACACATATTCATCAAATGATTTTTTTCCGTGACTTTTCTTTTCATCTCCCCTTTTGATGTCCTCATTTATATTTATGTCCATAATATATAAAATGTCTTAGCCATCCAAGAACAATTCATTGTGAAACCAGTTGCTACCTAGCAATGCAATAGCTGGTGCCTAGGGATGAAACTGGTTCGGATAGTTTCCATCCGTCTGGACCAATTTTTGGATTCGGAAAAATTCGGTCAGAACTATCCGGAATTTCTCGGATTCGAAAATAAATTCAGATTTTTTTTCTCGGATACGAAAACGAATACAATAAGGGTGATATCCGACGGAATAAACGGTTGAAAACTATCCGGACTTTTTTATCGGATATCCGGTAGTTTTCATGCTAGCAAAAAGGATATTTTTCAGAAAAAAAAAAACCCGAAACCCTAGCTGGCCGCGCCAGCTTCGCGCCGCCTACCGCCGGCCGGCGCCAGATCCACGCCGCCCACCGCCGGCCTCCGCGCCGCCACGCGTGCACCGGCCGCCACCCACGCGCGCGCCAGACTCCGCCGCCTTGCGCCGCAGCAGCCCTCTCCACCACCGACCGAGCCGCTCAACATGCGCCGCCCCACGGTGCCGCCGCCAGCACTCCGGCCGAAAGGCGGAGGGACTGGCTAGATCCGGCGACGGCGCCGCCGGATCCGCCTGCCGTCGCCACCCACCGAAGCCGTCGCGGCAGTCGAGCCCGCTGCCTTCGCCCGTCGCAGCCCGCCGCGCGAGCCTGCCCGCCGCCGCCGCCCGTCGCCGCCCGCCGCGTGTTGCGCCGCTCTCGGCCGGCCGCCGGCTGCCGCGCGCCCCGCCCTGTGCCGCTGTGGATGAGGGAAGTGAGAGGGAGAGAGTAGAAAGTGTGAGTCTGTGAGAGAGAGGAGAGGAAGAGTCAAGAGAAGATAAGGTTGGGGAAAAAATGGTGGATTTTTTTTCAATGTAAAAATCGATTTCTTTTTACATGTTGCTCTTTAAAACGAATTTTAAGGAACTAAATCAACTCAAATGAAAAAGTTATCAAAAACAAAGTTGTATAACTTATTAAGATCTACCATTTTTCTTTTGGTCATTTCTCCATCCGAGTTTGATTGAACTATATAAAATTTGAATTTTAAAATATAAGAAATTCAAATAATTTTTCGGGTACTAAATGATTTCAAATGAAAAGTTGTCAAAAACAAAGTTGTATAACACATCAACATATACAACTTTTGTTTTGGTCATTTTTCTATATGACTTTGTTTGAACCGGTTGAATTTGAATTTCAAAATATGACAACTTCAAACAATATTTTGAAATACTAAATGATTTTAACTGAAAAAGTTATCAACAACAAAGTTGTATAACTCATCAAGATCTATAACTTTTATTTTGGTCGTTTCTTCATCTGACAAAGTAATAGAAACTTTGTTCACAAAATTTACATCTATCTCATCTGGTTCTACAAACTACAAGAGAGATATGTAAACTTTGTGAATAATGTTATTATCACTTTATCGGATGAAAAAATGACCAAAATAAAAGTTGTATGTCTTGATGATATCTACAACTTTTATGTTCACAACTTTTTTAGCTGCAATTAATTACAGCTTCAAAATATTATTTGAAGTTTTAAAATTCAAATTTTTAATTGATACAACAAAGTCACAAGAAAAAAAATGGCCAAAATAATAGCATGATAGAGCATGATTTTAGAAACATTTAGAAAAAAGAATCATCCAATTTGGAGTTCATATGAGTGAGATAAACTAGTTTCAAATTTTTAAATTTTATTTTTGCATACAGCTTCTTAAGTCACCTTTATATGGAAAAATTGATTTTTCCATGCGGGTCCTTAAGTGGTCCACATAAAAACAAATAAAAAAATTCAATTACTTATAAATAGAGATAAAATTTGAAAATGTTGATATTTTGTTGTTGAAAACTAATGGCTACATCTCTTTCTCGATTTAATAAGCTTATTTTGAGGGGTCTTAATATTTTGATAATTATTCGTTACCGTATTCGTTTCGATTCGTATTCGCTCCGTATCTGTATTCGATAATATTTGATTCCGTTTTCGTATCCGGGTTTCCGATTCCGATTTCGATTCCGAGAAAAAATATGAAACGAATATGATAGAGCTTGTTTCCGACCGTATTCGATCCGTTTTTATCCCTACTGGTGACCTCTTCTACTTTGTTTTCGCGAGGCATTGTTCTTTACACTGAAGTTACCATCACGGGCTGTCACTGATGGTTTTCTTGATATCTTTCGCTCGCTGCCAAGGCCAGGCTACCATGTTTGCTCCTCATATGGTGCGTAAATTATTCCTTCCTTTGGCTTATTACTCTATTCCAATAAGTTTTAATTTTATTCATAAATAAATACTCATATGCTATTATTTTGTCCCCTCCTCATGTGTTCTTTGTTTCTCTGTTCTTCCAACCATAATCTGACACACTTCAATTTTTCTAATGCTTATATCATAAACATATATCTTGCTTATGTTTTGTTTTCAATGTTCCTTATGAAGCACTACCTTTATCACTGCTACCAATAAAATAATATTTTAATTAATTCTCGAGTAATATGTCTTGCTATTTTTATTCTAGAAGGCCTGAAAGGCCTAACTTTATAAGCATGGAAGTGATGAATGTCATCGATCTTTCTTTCTAAAGACCTGGCTGCAAACTAAGAGCACTTGGAAACACATTACCCAATCCAACCAGCAAGTATAATTTTTTCTGTTTTTGAAAAGAGTTGAGAGATGTATTTAAATCACAACTATTAGTTGCACATAATGATGAAGTGATGTACAAATTTAGAACAATATCTACGTATATATACAAGCAGTCATTTGCATGTTACACACCTAACATTTTCTATCTATCAGAAGTCCCGCAGCAACGCGTGGGGTCTCTCACTAGTTTTTTTGGATTTTGTTCCAGTAGGTGTTGTAAAAGATAATTTGCTTATTAGTAGCATGTTATAAGAAACTTCTTTGGTATTGAGTTGTTGACTTCACTTTCCTAGTGTCGTGCCGCTGTACTGTAGCTGTTGCGAGTTACAATTGTACCAATTAACTAATACATGAAGCTGGGAATTTTCCTTCCCTAATTTGGCATCGAAAGCACCATATTCCTCTTAAAAAAATATAACACCGTATCCTACAGCGGCAACGTGTTAGCGTTCGAATACCTCCTGGGTAAACCATTTGGAAGAGCTGGAAGGAGTCAAAGTGACTTCTCCCTGTCCCACATTATTCCGTTACTCCTTGTAATGACAAATATAACAATTAACTCACCACACCTACATCAGAAGAGGATACAAGTTTTATTGTGATTATTTGACCGCTATCTTTTATCAACATTAGTACATACTGCACTCCTATAACAGCCTATTAGAGTCCTCCATGGATGCGGCCTTCGACGAAAACCTTTTATGCATCACAGATGGTGAAATTAGTACAGTTTTACTCTTGTATCAATTGGCCTTCGACAGATAGGGCAATGTTCGACTTGCGGTCCACATTCAGCACATGTCTGCAAGTAAAGGAAAACAAAATATTTGTTGAACGATCAATTGGGAAAATGCAGGATAAACCTGAAAGCAGTATTCCTAACCTGGTGTCCGCAACCAAAAGCCATGTCCCGGGGTTTGGAGAGGCAAACTGGGCAGAGCTGGACATTTGAAAAAAGATTGCCCAAGTACATGTGACTCTTCAGTTTAAATACAAGCACGTGACAGGTAAATTTCAGCCGATTCATATGGTATTCTTTTTAAATAATGAAAGTTCAAGAAATTAGAAACATACTATCAGTGTTTTGACTAGGGAATTTCATCCAATATTAATCATGTTTGTTGCAAGCGAAGAGGTGATTTATCTTTGCAAGATTTATTCAAAATTGTTTTCTGTTGCTACATATGTACTACAATAGAGCGATCCTTTGTTGCTATTATTTCTGAACAAAGAATAGTTCCAGGTATCTACTTACCTTTATGAGTAATCAAAAACATATCCTGCTCATATATACTAATGCACAATAATTTTTTAATCTGCACGAAGGTAGCAAGATAGAAATTTTCATACTTGAGGTTCTGCTGCTCTAGCATCCACGCTTGGTGGGGATGTAACTGATGCTGTGATTGCTGAATCTACAGGTGCCTCATCCCTAGGATGAGAAGGCATACTGCGGAAGCTATTTGCTCGAGATGGTGCTGCTCTCGAGATTGTATTATAGCTTGCAAAGGGAGGGGGCAGTGGAACTCGCTCAGGTGACTTCGCGAACCGACGCCTAGTCAGTACAAACAAGAATAACAAAATAGAGGGGATTACATCAATTTAAAATTAATAAATTAAAAGTGTATATGTGTAACTGGCCTTCAGCATTTCCATACCCTAAAATTCCAAGCTCTAATGTTGCCTTGTACTGCAAAGGAATTTCCATGAGTGCCGAAAGGGCAAATTCTGTTTCCTTCTTGCTCTGACTGATTTTCTTTGACATTATTGAAGTGAAGTTGACAAACTAGGATGGCAAACATGTCCACATTATTTTGTTTAGAAATTCGATCAAACTATAAAAATAACTCCTATAGTTTTCATTTCAAGCATACCTGGAAATTGTCAAAAGACCTAGCAGGTATGTTGTCGTCAAATTCCTTCATCATATCCCATGGACCATCTCCAACTCCAACCAAAATTATAGACAAGGGAAATTCACTGCAACAGTGAAGGTACAGGTTAGTCTGATGGAATAAGCCTTGTGGTCTTTGGTCCTTGTGGTCCTTCTCTTGCTTTTAGGTTGTTTTTCCCCTTTTAGGACAGCATCCTTTCAGTTTTGCTTTTAGCATCTTTCGGTTTTGCTTTTAGCATCCCTAGGACAGCATCTAGCATCTCCTTTATGTTTTATTCAGTTTGGATGCTCTCTAGGACAGCATTGCGTTCAAATTTTAGACTAGTGTGGGCAGCAATTAGCTAGCAGCCATCCAGCCAGCTATGGCTATATATATATATGTATCCAACCTCCCTCGGGAAGGTATGGCTTTTTGTGTTTTGTGAATGAAGAAAACCAGAAAATTGCCCCATCTCGAGTGCCATCCTCTTCTCAATGAGAGTAACCATTGAAATTCTAACATCTGGTATTAGAGCAACACTTTCCTGTAGGCTAAACATCTCTTGTTCCACCCCTTCCCAAGCTCGGTTGAGCTCTCAGCCAGCAGCAGCAGCAGCACCGGTTGCTCCTCCTTCCCCTTTCCCTTCCCCCTCTCCACGCAGCAGCCCCCCGCAGGTGCGCCATGTCCGACGCTCGGTCTCGGCGTTCGGTCGCCTCGAGCACTCGGCGTCAGCAGGACGCCGAGCTCGCTGCAGCAGAAGAGCGCAAGCGAGCAACAGCTCAGACCGCTGCAGCAGCAGCGAGGGCGGCCAGACTGGCGGCAGCGGAGTTGGCAGCAGCCAGGGAGGAGGCGGAGGCAGAGGCGGCGGAAGATGCGGCACATGCGGCGGAGGTAGAGGTTGAGACCTTGCGCAGCAGCATCAACGGCTCCATCGCCGGCGACATCACCGCCGACAGGGAGCTTGAGGAGCTGGCAAGAGGAAGGGCACGGGAGCGGGCAGAGCGGTGGGCAGCAGCCCACCTCCACGGCGGCGGCGGCGGCCCAAGGGACCGCGCGCCCGCCAACGGGAACCCAGATGGGCGCGGGCGTGCCGGCGGCAGCCCGGAGCCCGCACGCGGCCCTTGCAGGCAGCGCGGCTCTCTCTCCCCTGACCGGCGCCATGGTCACCACGGCGTCCAGACGGTGGTCAGGGACTTTGGTCCCGGCGGTGGGTGGCCTACCCTCACCAAAACCAACTACATCGAGTGGGCCGCAGTGATGAGGGTGAGGCTCCAGGTGCGGCACATGTGGGAGGCAGTCCGGTACGGCGACGTCGACTACGACGAGGATCGGCGGGCACTGGATGCCCTCATCGCTGCAGTCCCGCCCGAGATGCAGTTCTCGCTTTCCCAGAAGCGGACTGCCAAGGAGGCCTGGGACGCCATCGCTGCGGCACGCATCGGCAGCGACCGCGCCCGCAAGTCCACACTGCAGGCACTCCGCAAGGAGTGGGAGAACCTGGCCTTCAAGCCAGGTGAGGATGTTGATGACTTTGCTCTCCGTCTCAACACTCTCTTGCAGAAAATGGTGCAGTACGGCAACGACACCTACGACGAGGAGAGAGCTGTCGAGAAGCTCTTCCGCTGCGTCCCTGAGAAGTACAGACAGATCGCTCGCTCGATCGAATCTCTGCTGGACCTCTCCACGATGTCGATCGAGGAGGCGTTAGGTCGCCTCAAGGTCGTCGATGGTGATGAGCCACAGCCTCTCTCGGGGCCCATCACCATCGGCGGGAAGCTCCATCTCACTCGGGAGCAGTGGGAGGCCTCTCAGGGTGACGGGAGGAAGGGGGAGTCATCTTCCCCGACAGGCGGCCGTAAGCCGCGCAAGGCGCGGGGAGGTGTCCAGCTACGGTGGGCGCGAAGACGTGCCAAGGGTGGCGCCCGCAGAGGCGCCCAGGGCGTTGCCACCGGCAACCACAAGCCGGCACGAGACGATGCCTGCCGCAACTGTGGCAAGCTTGGCCATTGGGCCAAAGACTGTCGACAGCCACGACGCGGCCAGGCCCACGTCGCACGGGTGGAGGAGGAAGAGCCGGCTCTGCTCCTAGCTCACGCAAGCATCGAGCTACCTCCAGCGGCACCGGCCGCAGCGGCTTTCCTCCACCTTGATGAGCCGAAGGTACTCGTCTCCCTCTGCAACGGCTCCAGCAACGACAAGGCTGATGGGTGGTACCTCGACACCGGCGCCACCCATCACATGACCGGCCGACGGGAGTTCTTCACCGAGTTCGACTCCAGCGTCCGAGGCTCCGTCAAGTTCGGGGACGCCTCCGGCGTGGAGATCAAGGGTGTTGGCTCCGTCACCTTCACCGCCAAGTCCGGTGAGCACAGGCTGCTCACCGGAGTCTACTACATCCCCGCGTTGAGGAATTCTATCATCAGCGTGAGACAGCTGGATGAGAATGGCTCACGCGTGTTGGTCGAGGACGGACTCATGAGGATTTGGGATCGCCGTCGTCGCCTTCTTGCCAAGGTAACCAGAGGCACTAATCGACTCTACATCCTCAGCGCGCAGGTCGCACAACCAGTTTGCCTCGCCGCTCGTCGGGACGACGAGGCATGGCAGTGGCACGAGCGCTTCGGGCACCTCCACTTCGAGGCCCTGAAGCGCCTCAGTGCCAAGGAGATGGTGCGAGGCATGCCGTGCCTTGACCACATGGAGCAGCTTTGCGACGTCTGCGTGGTAACGAAGCAGCGGCGGCTCCCCTTTCCTCCGCAGATGAGCTTCCGAGCCAAGGAGCGGCTCGAGCTCATGCACGGGGACTTGTGTGGCCCAGTGACACCGGCCACACCAGGAGGACGACGTTACTTCCTGCTGCTCGTCGACGACCTCTCCCGCTACATGTGGGTGATGGTCCTCGGCAGCAAGGGAGAGGCTGCGGATGCCATCAGGCGCGCGCAGGCCGCTGCAGAGGCGGAGTGCGGCCGCAAGCTGCGCGTGCTGCGCACCGACAACGGCGGCGATGAGGGCATCCAGCGCCACTACACCGCGTCGTACAGCCCACAGCAGAACGGCGTCGTCGAGCGGCGCAACCAGACGGTTGTGGGGATGGCTCGGGCTCTTCTCAAGCAGAGGGGGATGCCGGCCATCTTCTAGGGGGAGGCGGTGGTGACAGCCGTCTACATCCTCAATCGCTCGCCTACCAAGGCCCTCGATGGCAGGACACCGTACGAGGCTTGGCATGGGCACAAGCCGGCGGTCTCCCACCTACGGGTCTTCGGCTGCCTCGCGTTTGCCAAGGAGCTTGGCCACATCGGTAAGCTCGACGACAGGAGCACCCCAGGGGTGTTCATCGGCTACGCGGAGGGCTCAAAGGCCTACCGCATCCTCGACCCGGAGACACAGCGTGTGCGCACAGTGCGCGACGTAGTGTTCGACGAAGGGCGAGGGTGGGTATGGGACAAGGCGGTGGATGATGGTTCGACTCCGACGTACGACGACTTCACCATCGAGTACGTCCACTTCGAGGGAGCTGGGGGAGTAGGCAGCTCTTCTTCACCGAGTGTGTCTACCCCAGTCCCCGAGCCTCCACCGACTCCAACACCAACACACCCTCGGGCCACGACTTCGACTACGACGAGCTCTTCGTCGACACCACCCCAGCCGGTGTCCCCACGCGCTCCAGCACCAACAGCCACTCCTCCGGGCACGTCTACTCCGACGCCAGCTCGTGTTGAGCGCAGCCCGGTGGAGTTCGTTACTCCGCTCTCCCACGACGGGGAGCGCATCGACGCGTACCACGACGGCGAGCAGCTACGGTACCGTACGATGGATGATCTTCTCGGCGACCAGCCGGTGCCGGGACTGGTGCCTCGCAACCTGGAGGCGCAGTTGCACCTTGCGTGCGACGACGGTGAGCCTCGGTCTTTTGCAGAGGCCGAGAAACACGCGGCATGGCGTGCCGCGATGCAGTTGGAGATGGACGCGGTTCAGGAGAACCGCACCTGGGAGCTTGCTGACCTCCCTCGTGGTCACCGCGCAATCACCCTTAAGTGGGTGTTCAAGCTGAAGAGGGATGAAGCCGGAGCCATCGTCAAGCACAAGGCTCGCTTGGTAGCACGCGACTTCGTGCAGCAAGAGGGGATCGACTACGACGATGCCTTCGCTCCCGTGGCACGGATGGAGTCCGTGCGACTCCTTGCGCTGGCTGCTCAGGAAGGCTGGGGTGTCCATCACATGGACGTCAAGTCGGCGTTTCTGAACGGCGACTTGAAGGAGGAGGTCTACGTGCACCAGCCGCCGGGATTCGTGCTCCCCGGCAAGGAGGGCAAGGTGCTACGCCTGCACAAGGCCCTCTACGGCTTGCGGCAGGCACCGAGGGCGTGGAATGCCAAGTTGGATTCCACGCTCAAGGGGATGGGCTTCGAGCAAAGCCCGCACGAGGCGGCCATCTACCGGCGGGGCAATGGAGGAAAATGCCTTGCTGGTGGGTGTCTACGTCGACGACTTGGTGATCACTGGCACCAAAGATGCGGAGGTGGCGACGTTCAAGAAGGAGATGAAGGCCACCTTCCAGATGAGTGATCTGGGGCCTCTCTCCTTCTACCTGGGGATCGAAGTGCACCAGGACGACTCCGGAATCACGCTTCGACAGACCGCCTACGCTAAGCGCGTCGTTGAGCTGGCTGGGCTCACCGATTGCAACCCAGCTCTCACTCCGATGGAGGAGAGACTGAAGCTGAGCCGTGACAGCACGGCGGAGGAGGTGGATGCTACACAGTACCGGCGTCTTGTGGGGAGCCTTCGCTACCTCACCCACACACGATCGGACTTGGCCTTCTCCGTCGGCTACGTCAGTCGATTCATGCAGCAACCGACGACGGAGCACCAGCAGGCTGTGAAGAGGATCATCCGCTACGTTGCGGGGACTCTCGACCACGGTCTCTACTACCCGAGGTGTCCTGGCAAGGCACACTTCGTCGGGTACAGCGACAGCGACCACGCCGGCGACATCGACACCAGCAAGAGCACGAGCGGGATTCTCTTCTTCCTCGGCGAGTGCCTCGTTAGCTGGCAGTCGGTCAAACAACAGGTGGTGGCCCTGTCCAGCTGCGAGGCCGAGTACATGGCGGCATCCGCCGCTTCGACCCAGGCGCTCTGGCTTGCTCGACTGCTTGGTGATCTCCTCGGCAGAGACACTGGAGCAGTAGAGCTCAGGGTGGACAGCAAGTCCGCTCTGGCCCTGGCAAAGAACCCCGTTTTCCACGAACGGAGCAAGCACATCCGGGTGAGGTACCACTTTATCCGAAACTACTTGGAGGAAGGGAGCATCAAGGCGAGCTACATCAACACCAAGGACCAGCTTGCGGACTTGCTCACCAAGCCTCTTGGGAGGATCAAGTTCCTCGAGCTCTGCTCCAGGATCGGGATGGCCCAACTTTCCCACAAGACGACACACAAGACTTAGGGGGAGAATGATGGAATAAGCCTTGTGGTCTTTGGTCCTTGTGGTCCTTCTCTTGCTTTTAGGTTGTTTTTCCCCTTTTAGGGCAGCATCCTTTCAGTTTTGCTTTTAGCATCTTTCGGTTTTGCTTTTAGCATCCCTAGGACAGCATCTAGCATTTCCTTTATGCTTTATTCAGTTTGGATGCTCTCTAGGACAGCATTGCGTTCAAATTTTAGACTAATGTGGGCAGCAATTAGCTAGCAGCCATCCAGCCAGCTATGGCTATATATATGTATCCAACCTCCCTCGGGAAGGTATGGCTTTTTGTGTTTTGTGAATGAAGAAAACCAGAAAATTGCCCCATCTCGAGTGCCATCCTCTTCTCAATGAGAGTAACCATTGAAATTCTAACATCGTCATGACCGTTTTTCTGACTAGGGCATGAACAATGACCTGTTGCTGCAAACTGCAATTTATTCTGTGTTTTTTGTAGTATCAAAAAAATCCTATATGATGAACTGATCTCGTATAGTTACATTTTTCACATGAATCATGCAAAACCAAGGTGTGAGCTTGTAGCTCCAAATCCTCCTTCATGTATAAATTCTCCGATGTTACTTAAAACTCACAAAACTCATGAAACAACCAGTTATTGACCATAGATATCAGTAAAAAGCAGCAACTATATTAACTTAAATGCAGGCAAGCCTCAATGTTTTAGTGAATATTCCCTTAAAATCATTGAAAAAAAATGAAGGAAGAGGGTGACAAAAGAACTCGGGAAGATTTTTGATAGAGCAATCATCCACATATTTTGAAACATTTCAAGGAGAGGAATAGTTGCATCTTTTAATCAACATAACTTATATTGCAGGAGGTATTCAAATTCATTAAGGAAAACATGAGCTTAAGATAACAGGCTTCTGTTTCAAGTAGTGCACACTGCATAGATTTTGTTTCTTTAAGATGGCTGCATATGTTTTGTTGGCCTCAAATTATTCAGATGTTGATAATATTCTTGAAACAATGTCCCTGTCGAATGTTTCTAAGCAAACATGACACAGTCTTAGTTGTGTCCTACTAGTTATTGGTAGATCTCCTGCTTCAATTGTTAAAAAAAAAGAAATAATAAACCAGTCCCTTGCTTCTCTAGATGATTGAAACAGTCCCCTGTATGTCCAAATCATATGTTTCAAAGAGTTATGCAGAAATTAACATAAAACACATATCTATCTTTATTCAGGCATTTATTCCCATTTAAGCAAATATTTGTAGAAAATAGCCAAATTTTCACTCCATATATTTAATGTCACATAACATAAATCTTACCTCGCTTGTACAATAGCATCAACAGTCATCTGCTCCTGAGTACTTAACTGGCCAAATTCAGTATCTACACTTCGTGTAACCTAGTTTATGATAGCATCAGAAAAAAGGCCAAAGAATCTAATAAAAATAATTTTCCTCACTCAAAATAAGGAAAATAATAATAACTTGAAGCAAAAGTATACACAAGAATGTACAATATACCTGTCCATCAGCGATTATTACTAATACATGGTACTGGCCACCACTTTGTTCAACAATGGTTGTGGCCATTTCAATTATTGGAGAGAATGATGTAGGACCTAAAGAAACACAATAAATTACACATTTATACATTGATGGTGTTTGTACATTCCAAAAGATAACAAAGCAAGTGAATGTTCTTACCGGAAAGACGAAGATGAGGAACAATTTCTCTATATCGGGCCAAAGCCTCCTGAAAACCGTTGCATGGTCTTTCGTCAGGATAGAAAGCGAACACATCTTGATCGTGCGTAGATGCTGCACGGTTGGAAAGTGGAAACAGAACTGTAATATTTAGTTTTTTTTCAAAATTTTATGATATATTAATGTATTAAATAAAAAAACTGCATGGCATTACCATCTCCAAAACCATAGCAAGGAATTAAATTATCCTCATCAAAAGCTGACAAGGTTTGCCCAATAATTGTGATTGCCTGCTCATAAGGATTTGGGGAATCACCAATATGATGTAGGCTCATACCATTGAAGGAACGCTTCCCTGAATGTACACATAGTTAAGCATTGGACAAATGCTTTCTTTCATCAAAAATATGTCCGCGATAAACTACTCATCTTCCATATAAAATTACCTGTCCATTCATTACTCTTTGTGAAATCAATTCCAATTATTAAATTAGAAGACTCAAGACCAGCTTGCGCTAGTGCTTCAATAACCTGCACATCCAATATTGTTTTCAGTTTGGTGTCAATAGGAGATAAAGACTAATTGTATTTGATGGCACTGATCTTGAAGTCCAATACATCTTCATGAAAAGAAAGGCATGTGCAGATGCAAGAGTATGTTCTTTTTGTAGTAGATGATTTTGTATGCGCGTTAATCTGTATGCATGATTCCGCTAATAGCGAATTGTTGTAATTAAGTTGTTTTTGCAATAGTTCATGGACTAGGTCAGACTTTCAATAAGAGAAAACAAATACGCACACAACAACTACAGATGTCAGTTTGCACGACTGTTGTGTGCAGTATTGTGCGAAACCTTTTCTTTGGTAACACCTGTACTTGGGTGGGGAAGTTATGTCAATGGAAGTGCCTGGGACTAGTCAAATAGTGGATCCTAAGACAAAGTAACATCATGCCTTTCTTATTCATTTGCTACAGATGAACATACTATCAGATAGAGGAATACTTTTTATACTCTATTTCACCACACAAAGGGTATGCTTAACCAGCTAAAAAATTAAGCATTAGTTGCATAGAAATGGTGCATGCAAATTGCAAGGCTAAGTAAATGGATCTTACTTCTATCTTGCATTATCAGCAAAACCAGCTAAACTATGTGGGTTTTTAAAAATTTTCACAGGGTACTTGGGCAGAGTTAAGAAAAAAAATCGAAATGTGCCCCTTTTTTTCCTTGAAACACATGCTTGGCATGAAAAGTTGTTAGGCCTTCTGCGACTGTTGGGCTAGACTATGATCCATGGTCCAACCAGTGACCTAACACCCTGACCAGGCTGACAGAGGGTGGGTTCATAAAAATGGCTGGTAGTACTTATGGAGATCTTTCTCCGACACATTTGTTTATACCACCATGAATCAACCTATCTGATTAATACTAGTTAAATTACTACATAAGTCAAATTACTTAAATTGGTGGCTTGTGTCAACTGTACTTACAAGGTCAGCTCAATACTGCCATAAAAACCGCCTCCATTAAAAGGTTCTTATCAAGTTATCATCAACTAAAATTGCATAATGAACACATGATTTCGCTACCAACCAAAACACCTATGTATGTGATCCGCATCAACAGGGCATGCTCCAAAGCTCTAAACTAACCAAGATTGTCACTGTTTCCCAGACAATGCAGCTCATGTCGTGCGCAATATATTCCGCGACGCGATTTTTGAATGCTAGCCGCGTAATTGTTGTAGATTTGGGCATTACAATGAGTTCTTATACTGGTATATACACCTGCATAGTTGCATAAATACCTCATCCAATGAGCGGTACTGATCCACAATCTTGGAATACTTCCTCTCCAGCTTCGGCCGCTTACCCCCAACCGCCGCCGCCGCCCTGGACGGTGCCGGCGACCGGGTCTCGACCGCCCTCAGCGGAGGCGCCGACGACACGGTACAAGCCTGGGGAGCCGACGCCACCGCCGCGGCGGGGCGCGAGTAGCTGGAGGAAACCACCACGTCCTCGGCCGGCGGCGCGCTCGCCCCGCGCCGCCGGTAGCTGGAGGACGAGGAGTATTCGTCCGCCGCGTGGCCAGCCGAGTACGGAGACGACGGCGGCGGCGGGTCCCACAGCTGCGGAGGCTGGTACGGGTCCGTGGCACCGCCACCGCTGTGCGGCGACGCCGGCGGCGACCTGCGCCGCGCAGCCGCCGCCGCCGCGGCTTCCTGGGCGTCAGCCGGTGGTGGCCCCGCGGCGAGGAGGCTGCCGACGATCTTGGTGGCCGTCTGCAGCACGAGGAAGAGCAGCCACAGCAGGAAGGTCCCGACCTTCCCCACCACCGCCTACCCAAATCAAGAGAGCTCATAAGCTAAACGAATCATCTCGCGCGCGCAGCTTGCACGCTTGCTTGCCTTGCTCAGCTCTAGGCCTCTAGCGCTTACCAAGAACCCGCTCATGCCGCCGCCGGCGAGGTGGAGGCCTCCGCTGCTCGCCGCGGACGCAGCCGGGGGGGATGGTGGGGTGGGCCCACTTGTCAGTGGGGGTGGACCGGGGCGAGGAGACCGAGGAGGACGACGACCACGGAGTGAGTGAGGGAGAGGAGGAGGGTGAGTAGGGTGGGTTGCTTTCCAGAGCTGACGCTTGGGTTGGCTGCGTGCTGCTGGGCTGGGTCGCGTGTACTCAACGTGCGTCGAGATGGCGAATTATGACGTGGTCACGAATTTAATTTTGTGAGAAAGAATAAATTGTTTGGCTGCTGCCGAATACTCCATCCGTAAAAAAAAAAAAGACAACCTAAATATGAATGAGATATATTATAGGACAATGAATCTAAACATATTCAATATAGGTATGGATGGAACATATTCTAGCACAACGAATCTGGATGTCTCATTCATACCTAGGTTGTCTTTCTTTTTTTACGTATGGATGGAGTACATGTGATTGATGTTAACAGTGGATGCTTCCTCGAAAGAATGGATGAATAACGGTTTTGATGGGTTCGAATACTGAACAGCGACATCAGTACATTACGGGCATGCTCATCTCTACCGAAATAGTAGGGGCGGAGCTTAGAAATGGAATTTTTTTATGTGTAATTTTGATGATTATTTGGGTATGAGTATGGCTCTAACCTTAAGCTGTCCTACTCCTCCCTTTGCCCCCAGCTAGATGAATCATGATTTAATTTCAACTAAGCCTCACCTATTTTTATTAGGATAAATAAGATGTTGTCATCTCTAAACCTGACACATATTGGCAATGGCGGAGCTAGGTTAAAATTATAGTGGGGTTCCTCAGTCTTTTGGGCTTTCTAAGAATCTCAGACAAAATCTATTTTAGCCCTATTGTAATAGATATATGGATTTAAATTTAGTGGGGTCTTAATAGGGGCTCTAATAATTTATTAGGGGTAGGAGGTCTAAGGACCCCAAACCCCCACGCTGCCTCCGCCACTGCATATTGGAACCAATCGTGTGTCCACCACTTCCTAAATAGGAGATAGAATAATCCTAATACTTCATATTCTCTAACATTTTTTAATGGGAGATTAAATTAACTAACTTGTATTTCTCTTTTATGATTTATATCAAAACGCTCGTACGAAATTGTTAGGCTTGAAAAATTATTTTTTAAAAAGAGGAGAAAAAAAATACATACTACATAGACAACACACTTTTTATGTGTTTATGTCTTCATGGACTCGTAGTGTTAGGTTTGGAAATAAGAAAAGCTAAATGGTAGTTAAGCGACTTTGTTTGTCTCTTGCTGCTGGTTAGATTAGTATCCACATTGATTAATTATCAATTAATTAATTAGCACTACATACACATATGTAACCACGAGCCGACCTAGGTAGTAGAGCGGAGTGCCCAGCAACCCAGTTAAAAAAAATAGCTATAGTTAATCTATTTTCATCACACGTGTATCTCTCAATCTAAACTCAGACACTTGTACCAGTCTAAATTTAATTAAAATAGAGTAAACTCAGACACTTGTACCAGTCTAAATTTAATTAAAATAGAGTAAAGCAAGAGAGTGACATTTCTCTTTATTTGGTTCTAGCTTCACCCCGTATATAACCTGCAGATAAGCATGGCTCAGTGGAAATATTAATTGATTTTCTCTCGAGGCACTTCGTTGACTCCAGCTATATCTTGTTCCCCGCTACGGCCAGTGAGTGGCCATGCGTAACCGAGTTTTGAAAGCGAAGCAAAGATAATATAATCTGCACGGACCCAAGATTTTTATTCCGATAGACCTGTCAAAACGATGGACCTTTTACAAGTCTTTCTCAAAAGCTTAGTTATAGACGGGTCACGGCTGAGCCTTTTCTAAACCATATGTACTCCTTTGTTTCCTTTTAGCAGCTCCATTTAGAGTCCCACGTACTACCTCCGTCTTATATCCGTGTCTAATGTTTGACTGTCCATCTTATTTAAAAAATTTATAAAAAATTTAAAAATATTTAGTCACACATAAAGTACTATTCATGTTTTATCATCTAATAGCAATAAAAATACTAATCATAAAAAATTTTTAAATAAGACGAACGGTCAAACGTTGAATGTGACTTATTTTAGGACGGAGGGAGTATCAACCTACTACACGACTACTTACTCATCAACACTGAGTCCAACAACGTCATACTATACATATACACAACGCCAAAAATCTACAAGGACTCCTCTCAAAGGATTTTTAGGAATTTAGAGAGTAGTGTACAGGCTTATTTCTAATTCTCTAGTACTATTAAAAAATTGAAGATGTTTTTGTCAGAATTTGGTACGTCATCCGTATTTAAATAGGTTTTATGTTTACCTATTTTTAGTCCGTCCTAGTCGTTCAGTCCGATTGAGTTTCTATTGATCAATCTTTTTTTATCAACGTCAGCTTCGAGTCCGCATTGGAGGCGAGCATAGAGCCCATCTAGCTTTCGATATATTTTTTTTATCCTTTTTTTCGCTGTTTTCTATTATGCTTTCGGTTTTTTTTCTTTCTTTTGTTTTTTTCGCCTTTTTTTTTTCAAGATCAATCCGATCCATCTCACGCACCTCCCGTCACCATTCTATTTTGGCAAAAACGAAAAGAATCGAGGAAAAACGGAAAGAGAAGATCGAGTGAATCAATAGCCCTCAACCAGTTTTATTTCGCTTTTTTTTTCAAGATCAATCCGATCCATCTCACGCGCCTCCCGTCACCATTCGATTTTAGGAAAAATGAAAAGAGGAGATCGAGGAAAAACAGGAAGAGAAGATCGAGTGGATCAATAGCCCTCAACCAATTTTAGGAGATTAAGAAAGATTTGGTCGGACTTTAGGGAGGATTGGCTCGGGCACTCGATTCGAGACAAGCACTAGCTCCGCCACTCGATTTTGGGATAACGGAAAGAGGATCAAATTGAGTAGATTCATAGCCCTCAACTAATTTTGGGAGATGAAGAAAGATTTGGCCGAATTTGAGGGACAACTTTAGGAGATTAAGAAAGATTTGGCCAGATTTAAGGGAAGGATTGGCTCGGGCATACAGACACATGACTGTCTTCCGAGATTGAAAACGCCCCTCGATGTGTGAGCTAGGCTAAAGAGAGGCAGCTCGAGAGGAGAAAGAGGTAGTGTGTGAGCTAGGCTAAAGAGATGCAGTTCGAGAGGAGAGAGAGGTAGTGGACTAGGTAGGGCTAAAAAGAGAGAAAAGACGAGAGGAGAGAGGTAGTGGACTGGGTAGGGCTAAAAAGGAAAAAAAGACTGGGCTCAGCCTAAAACAAAGAATATTTTTTTATTAATTTTTTTAATTATGATTATATAGCAGTCCTGATGGTTCAATTTATTGACCAGCTTCTAATAGTTGTATAAAAAAACGTTTTTCCCTGTTGCAACGCATAGGCATTTTTTTATAGTAAAAAATAAAAAGTGAGAAACTACGAGGTTTAGCAAAGCGAACTCCTTGGGAAAAATGAAGCTTAACAGCACTCCTGGACCTTGCTAATATGTGGTATCAGAATATTATTATCCTTCGTGACACTTGGCGTGAAATTCTCAAAAGTTTGTCTTGACATCGAGGAATATGACATTTGCATAATGAATTTACTGGGAAAAATAAATTGCTTATAAGATAGCAAGGATTATTTTTTTACTCTTCGCACCATCTTAGTTTATAATCTCTACACATAACGTAGATGGGCAAAAGCTTATTTAGGTGTACTAGTTGAAGTCGCCAATCTAGAAGCAAGATGGATAGTGTAGTTCGCTTCAGCTGTAGTTTCTAAGCCAAGTGTGATCTAATTTATTTGCAGCTCGTTGCCAATAACGCTTCTAATGCAATCTTACCAACCAGGTGCCTAATGGCATCCATCTTTAACAGACTTGTTGAACTCCAGTTTCACATAAATGTCAGAGCTCAACAGTTTAGAACCCTTCTCTAGGGACTAATTTAGGTGTCTTAGATTCAGATCCCATATCGCCATGAACAGGCAGTAACATAGCAATCCTAGCTCAGCCCACCATTACATACAAACAAAAACTACAAAAGAACAGGCCAAGCGGCGATTACATACAGCAACCTCACTTGCCATACTTCCGATTGTAAGGTCTACCCCTCTTGGTATTTTTTCCTCTCAAATGTGCAAGTGTTGGACCAAGGGCACTGCTCCTTAGTGCTCTATATGACCAAGCAGATGTACTGGCATTTGGTGTCCAAGTTCCCCAGCCATTTTCCTGAACAGCAGGCTCGTCATTTGCGACCTCTCCATTTTCCTCCCAGACCGTGTTTTGTGTTTTTTCTGCACATAAAGATTGTCTACAGTTTACCACAACTAAAACTTCGGTAATAATGGATAAATGCTTGCAAACGCCTAGGGCAATACCTTGCGTGGCTTCTGGATCTTTGGTGTTGTTTGGCAGTTTTTCGCTGTGAATTTTACCTTTATGATTATCTAAATTAGCTGGCTTTTGGGCATGGGATCCACCTTTAATGCCTGTTTCTGTCAGGGGAGTACTAACAGCCGGTTGCACGGAATCAGTGTCCTTGAGCAGTCTAATATCAAGAAGCGAAGAGTACTCGATCTGCAAAATATCAAGATTCAAGAATGATATATCTACCCTGTTTGACAAAATTGTAGATTAAAGGGAACACATAGTTACCTCCAAGGAACCATCTTCCTTGTAAGGTGACATGTCCACCAGCATCTCTGACTCGTCTTCACCATTCTTTTCTCCAGCAGTGAACGGATACTCAGGAACAGGTAAGAGAATGATCCTCAAAGATATGGGATCATATATAAGAACTTTGCCAACCTGAAATAATAGGTGAAAATGAATTGCCTGGATTCAATACTATCGGTAACAACACTTCATTCCATGTTTGTGCTGGCATGCAAAAGATGGCAAAATGAATTGTCTTCACTTTTCAAAAAAAATTAGCCACACATGAACGAATTGGTATTAGAAACTATGTCATACACGGTATGAAGAAAGCTCTGGACACCAAGAGGAAGACAGTTCAACCAACCGATAAACAATCAGATCTCCTTCCTGTAAGACACAAAGGAAGGTAAGCATAGAAGAGAATTAAACAGCACTAAAGGAAATACAGCTTCAAGGAAAAAGGGGGAAAATACAGCAACAGAATGAGCAACTGACTGTAAAGCTAGTAATGATAGTTTTGTGACTGCCACTGAAGTGCACTTCCATCGTAAAAATCATTTGTGATGTGAAATAATCTAGGTCCAGATAAATATCACCCTTAGTTTTCAAGCTCTGATGTACCTAGAACTTTTTTAGTTTGACAACTACTTATGTTCTCCGACCTATGCTCCATTTTTCTCCATCATTGCTCCTGCTCTGTCAGACGTATGGCTGCAGCCAGTGTTCTTCCACAAGCATGACAACACAATCTGCACGCATATCCTCCACTCTACTTAGCCTCAAAGATAATGAAGCCTAACTATGCGTTAGCTACTCCATTGCTTGTATTAAATCCCTCAATTTGTTAGCCCTCATGGAAAGAAAAAGGTTTGTTCTTTGTATTGCTTTTCTGGGAACAAAACTATGTGGTATAAGAACTCTGCCACAGAATTTTTTCAACAATACAGTTGCCGAACTCAAGTTGTGTGCCTCTTCTGCAGAAGATCATTCAGAGATGTCGCAGATAATGGTTGACCTAGTAACTCTTAGGACAAAAGTTATTATAGACAAAGAGGTTGTTTGATTAGCAATCTATACTCCTTTTAAAATAAGTCAATGGTGATGGTGGCAGTCAATCTGCCACCCCACAAATTCTGTGACATATCTGTACTATCTGCTCTTTAAGTGTTTCAATACTGTATTAATCGTAGCACATATCGTTACTTTATCAGCTAGTATGTACGATAAGAACTTAACACCAGAAGGTCTAAGATGACCGATATATGTAGTGTAAAACTAACTTTCAAGGTGAGTATAATGTAAAATTGTAAGTGCTCCATATAACAAGAATATGAAGGACCTGTGCAACAAAATAAATCACATTTATTAGCTTTTAGCAATGTCAAGATATGCACGATTATTTTTATTCATACCCAAAGCCACAGGCATTTTGTTAGTCACTAATAATAATATATATGGAATTTACTTTTTCTATCTATAGGGCAGAACAGAAGCTCATAGATAAATGCTCCACGGGTAGGCATGCAGAGTCCCAAATCTGGTCAGCCTTTTTTTTTCATTTGGCCCAAATTTTTAGCCTACAGCCGCAGCCCATTAAAGACAATAAAAATTGTAGACATTAACCATTAATATTTTATTTGGTGAATAATATAAATTCATATTTTTATTCCATGCAAACAGTAAAAATATGTATTTTTGGGGTTCAGTCTAGGACTAACTTAAGCAAGGCCTTTCCATCTCTACCTCAAATTTAAATGTTTTGGAATCTTGTGATGGTTTCACATCCATGGGGAAAAAATAAATTTGGTGGAACTGCAGAAGAGGTGGCCAGTTGGCTACACCATTAAATACGACCCAGTCACATGGTTCCTGGCATGCTTTGGTGCACAGATTTTGCTTTGTTGTTATGCTTATTTAAATCGTTGATTTAGTGCTGATGTTACTAGAGGTTGATAACAAGCATGGAATAGAAGATGAAGGTTTGAATTGAGCTGTTGTTATCATGGATGCAGAATTGAATATCATAATATTTCTACCTACTCCCTCGTGTGCACAACCAACGAGAAAAACTGTAACTGTATTCATGTTTCTTTTCCAATAAATATAGCTAGTCTTGTATAACATCTTATAACAGGAAAAGAAAATACCTTGGGAAGTCGTGTTAGGGGATACAGGCTGTCAAAATCTAAAGGTTCACTGCTAGACTTCCCTTTCTCAGCAACAATCTTTTCACTTGCTGATCCAACATGACTGCTCTCACCAACCTTTTGATTACTGGCCAAACCAAAATCATTATCACTAGTCTTAGAGTTGCCAGCCACATGGTGGTTAACTTCAGTGTCAGTTCCAGTTATCCTCCCATGATAGCTGATATCAGAGCTTTTCTTGTTTGAGTTGTCCATTCCCCACTTCTGACCCTTCTTTTTGCTTGTAGTTCCACTCCACTGGAAAGTTGTCTGGAATAAGAAAAATCAAAACAATTACATACCAATTTGCATAATTTTACTAGTATTAATATATTTATTAAAGGGAAGTAAATCACCACTTCTATTTAACTAATGAATAATTTATTTTAATTCAGGTTTCTTAAATTTCATCAACACTGCCTCAATTGGAATTAGATGACTAGATGTCGATTTAGTCAAAAGCACAATGACCAAGGTGGATCTTAACTCTTTTACTTTTGACATGCTTACCCCTATCAAATGTGATTTATCTCTGAATAATGGTCCTCCATAGTACTGGTCACCAGCTATGATTTATCCAATCCTAGGGCAAGAGCATACTAAAGTGTAGCTTTGCTCTTAAATAGCTGTCACCGGGTTCAATTGGATAAACAACATTAACACCTGTTGCATTTTATAGGGCCTATTTCTGAAAATGAAACCTAGAAACTTAAAGGAAAAAGTACGAATTACCCCCCCCCCCCAACCCGAAAACCAGATATGACTCACCCTGAACTTTCAATGACGGACGAATTACCCCCCTCAACCCAATCCAGAGCGGTTTTATCCTACGTGGCGTACGCGTGGCAACCCAGTCAGCATTTTTTTAAAAACATAGTGGGGCCCACCTATCATATACTCTCTCCCTCTCCCGGCGAGCACGGCAGCCCGGGGCAGCTCCAGCATCGTCGTAGTCGTGGCACACAGAGCCGGCGGAGTGGGATGCGGAACCGGCGGCGGCAGCGTGGGATATAGAGCCAGCGGCGGCGCGGGGAAGGAAAAGGAGGAGAAAGAGGAGAAAGAGGTGGGACCCGACGGCGCACGTTGCCGGAGAGCACGGAGAGAGTGTGCGCCGAGATCGGGGACGGCGCAGGGGCTGGCGGTGGGCAGCAGCAGGAGATCGAGATGGTGGAGGCGGCAACGTCATCCAGCTCAAAAACGTCGTCTCCTCCTCTCGAGCTCATCTCCATTTTCAAATCTCTCTTTCTTGCTTGAGGCGAGCCATGGCGGAGCTGCCGCTTGCAGCGGGGCTGCTCGACCTGCGCCCCTGCAAGCTCGCCCCTCCCCCTCCCCCGCCTCTCTCCCTGTCTCCCCCTCCCCTCCCCGCCGCTCCCACTCCACCATCACCACCACCGCCACCGCCTGCCGCCCCTCCCCTCCCCTCGCCGACGAGGAGCTGCCGCTGGCGGACGCCGTGGCTCCCGAGACCGTTGTCGCTGCACCTGAGGCCCGGGATGGCGGTGGAGAAGGGGAGGTGACGGCGATGGCGACGGCGACAGGTTTGGACGCGAAGGAGGTGGCAAGTGGAGTGGAGGCGACAGCGACCTCGGATGGCTACACCACACAGGACCACGACGACGACGACGCTCGAGCCACCGCGGGCTGCCGTGCTCGCCGAGAGAGGGAGAGAGAGTGAGAGAGGGGAAGAGGGGGGAGAGAGAGAGTATATGACATGTGGGCCCCACTATGTTTTTGTCAGGTCTTCAACTGACAAGATGGCGAAGGACAACAAGGATGAAGAGGAGAACCCTGAAACTGAAGAAGCAGGGAAGAAGGAGGCTGAAGCTGAAGGAGCAGAGGAGGGAGAACCTGATGAATCTCAAGACAGGGTGGCGCCAAGACTCAAGAAAGCAATGGGCCAAAGGCGTTCTACAAGGGCTAGCAGGCCCAATCCACGTTACCATGGGTCCCAGTGGGTGTGAGTATTGTAACTACTGCCAGTTGTCTGTAAGCAACTTGTACACGGCAACTGTAAGAGAGAAAGGGATAAATAGGGGAACACAACGAATTGGAAGGCGCTTTTTGGCAACTTGGAGGCGTAGGCGGCGGCGGCTCAACCCTGTCGGGTTGGTGCGAAATCTATCAATTGAGTTGCCAATTCCCCCTTGTTCTTGTGTGATTTGGAGTCCAGTTTCTGAATTCTGAGTTAAACTGAGTGAACACCTGACAGTTTTAAAAAAAGAAAATCCTGACTGGGTTGCCACGCGTATGCCACGTTGGATAAAACCGCTCTGGATTGGGTCGAGGGGGTAATTCGTCCGGTATTAAAAGTTCAGGGTGAGTCATGTCTGGTTTTCAGGTTCAAGGGGGAATTCGGCCAACCGTGATAGTTCGGGGGAGTAATTCGTACTTTTTCCAAACTTAAAACATCTATAAGAGCAAAACCAATATCCATAAAATGTGGCAAAACCAACATCAGTCTTTTGATTAGGGCATTTACTTTTTGCCACTTTTAAGATGTAAAGATTTGCCACTCACAGTATATGACATGTGGGCCTTCATGTGCTATGACATGTGGGCCCAGTGGCAAATCCTTAATTGCCACTTATAAGAGTGGCAAATAGTTAAATATCTCCCTAAAATGACATCTAAGTATCTAACAATTATGGAAGAAATATGCATTTACGTAGCCCCAAATATTTCCTAGTCAATCCACAACTACCCCCACAATCAAAGCTATCACTTCCCTAAAATATCTCTAAAAACAAATTCATAAAATGGAAGTCACAACAAATTCTATTATTTACATGCTAATGAGCAGATAGCAAATATAGTGGAGGTGGAATATAAAATAAAGTCTTGATAATTTCATGCAGTGGCCTAACTTACTAACTGTTGCAAAGGAAATGCATCATTAAATCAGTTATTATATAATTAAGAATGAGAGACAAGAGGCACATCAATAAACCTGTATTTCCTTCACCGGTGATTTATCTGATTCTCCGCCTAAAATCAAAAGAAAATTACTTTATATTGAGCTGTCTTACATGCAATAAATGAATATTACCAACTGAAGATGTGTAGTGATGTGGGTAACACAATAGTAATGATTCAACAAGAAAACTGTCATAGGTAGTGGGCCGAGGGGTCGAGGCCCAAGAACATAAATCAGAAAAGCACACAAGCCGGACATAAATAACAGCATAACAGTCTCAAATATTCACTTGTTTGAAGACCTCTAAACAAGAATGCACAAAAGATGATTTCAGGTGCAAATCTCCGAGAGCTGTAGTATACACATAATAAAATCCCCATAGGCTGAAAGAATATGAGATGGAGAGTTATATATGTACACTAGGTTTAGCTGGGAATATAGGACTATTTCTCTTATTTATTTGCCAATAGAGCTCAAATTCCTGGTTTTATTTTCAAATTCTCGGACCAGGAGCAGCATGGAATAGTTTGGATATGCTCCAACGCACCATTTACATCTATATAACGATAAATAGATTAATGGTTCAGAATACAATTTACTGGTGATTTTCAACCAAAACATAATATTTTCAGTCTGGATATTCATGCATAAACAGCTAGAATTGTTCTTGGAGAAAAGAATGAAATGTTTTTATATATTTTTCACATACTTCTCTGTTTCAAGCATAAGGTAAGGCCAGAAAAAGATGACCTTAAATTTTGAAGGTAGGACACAACTAGCACAGACAAATTAACCAGAGGAGAAGACCTGAAGAATATTTCTAAAGATGCCACTATCAACATACCAAATATATGTGTTGTTTGATACATACAAATGTCCTAATGCTTACATGTCTACTTGGACAAGTATGATGGCATTTGTGCATGGTAAATTAACACGGTAGTCAGGGTAACTCTGGTTTATCTTTTTTTTTCCTGAACAGGACAGTGTTTGTTTTCTGTCTGTGATAAACAATGGATTGCAATGCGGAAAATAATATTATCATAAATCAGATTCTTGCTGGATGAAGATACCTGCTGACTCAAAGCGAATGTGGCCAGGCCTAACCACAACTGGAACAATATCATCCGATGTATCAGATTCTTCCTCATCTGCTTCATGCCTTACAAATGGCAAGCTCGAGTTGTTTTGATTGCTTGATGGGGACGGCAAAACATCTCGGTTGTTTGACGATGGACAATCAGCCACGGTTGGTTGTTCTTGACAGTGCTCTTTCTGCAAAAATATAAATTGAAGATAAATATATTTGTTTAACACTATTTGTCCCTACTATGGAGATAAGACTATCAGGTAGCTACTCTGTTCTGAGCTGGAGGAAGAGAAGTAGATGGATAGCAGCAAAAGATTCAGTATCAGAGGAAACAAGATTACAGGGAGTCGGAAAGCTTTCATGCCACAGTGAGACATACCAATGAAGAAGGCAATGCCACAGTAGTGGAAACTTATAAAAGCTGTACAATTTATGAAAAGAATAGAGTTTTCATTGGGGGAAAAAAAGAAGGAAGCCCATATGGGATTGCAACTTGAAAGTTGATTGAACCAGCCTATATATTTTCCAATTGTTGCAACCAATCCAGATGTTCTTCCATCTATAAAATCCACAGCATTATGCCCTTGTAGTAGGGATATAAAAATATCCTATAAATCAAGAAATAAGATACAGACACATCCAGCAACAATTTACCTCTTTCAATTGTTCTTTGGCTTTCTGTCTAAGTTGTCTTTTGAGTTTCTTACGCCGAGCACTTCTAGATACCTGGTAAAACACAGGACAGCAAAGTGAACTTTATGCATGTGATAACTAAAATAAAATGCACATGCAGAAAAGCATGACTTGTTAATTGAGTCCTATATATCATAATATCACAGGTAAATTTGAGTGTTGCTACACTGCACGTGAAGTGTGAAATGTCAATTATAGGAAATTATACTTGTGGCGTGGTCAGCAGTCAGAATTGTGCATGGAGCTTGCTTTTTCAAAGAATTTCTTTATGCCCTTTTTTCTATAGACTAAAATTGGCAAACAACTACTTCAGAATGAAACAGAAGAAGCTCATTAAATTTTCTGTGGTTTTCTTTAACTAACTATTCCATAAAGACAACTGCAAAACAGTCCAATTCTAAACAATAAGTTAGCCAATGGATACATTAAGGTGAGCTTGACATTAGAGCAGCCCTTTTAAAAGCACTGAATTAACTTTTTACTATAAATCAATTAAACAGGAAAATACATTTTAACTCCAATTCATGTGATTGTAATGCTTGGTACTTCTTTTAATTTGTTGTGCACATCGTACAATTTCCATTCTTGTTCTCATGATTTGAGTGGTTCTGGTACTTGAAATAAAAATCAATGAAAAATTACAAATCTTATACAAGCACCAACATCACTCAATAGATGAATCAGTTACACAAAGATTGACAAAATTATTTTTGTAGCAATCAAAGTGTGCCCATTCCCGTTGCTATCCCTAACCAATAGGGCAGGAGGAGAAGAGGGAGCCATAGGAGGAGTTGGGATCAACGAGTAGTTGCAGAGTGAAAAATAGTGCTGTATTTAATCATGTGCCCTCCAAAATCATCGATTCGTCATACTGAACACAACCACAAAGAGCCCAAACCAAATTGCTAATCCAAATCATTCCAATACCAACCGAATGGAGCCCAAACCACAAGACAGTCCAAATCCAACACAGTAGCACGTGTGAGTTGGCAAGGAGCTGAGGGGACAGAGAAGCTGCAGGTGCAAGAAGTAGCCACACCAGTGAGGATGACAAAAATGAGAGCAAGGGGTGAGCATGTAGGAGTTGTGAGGAGCTACAGCAGCGCAATGGCATGTAGCAATGGTGGAGGTGGTGGGGAGATGCAGATGACACGATTTCCACCAGTAAAAGGGCGCAGGATGATTCGGTTTCAGACATCCAGATGAGCCAGTGTAGGGATCTATCACAAGGTAAGGATAATAAGGTCACATGTAACATGAGTCGGCATTAGTGACAATGACAGAAGTGATAAATACAGGGATGGACACACCTTTTGGAGCTAATAAAGTGATTATGTCATTTTGGTGCTACAAATCTAAAATCGTGGACTTTCAACACCACATATCAATTTGCCTTAAAGATCTTAAACATATACAGAATAAAAAAAACACGAGAAATAGTGTTCACGTGCGTTATTGATGGCGTATTTGCATGTGAACATAACTCAAAGCAGTTGCAAACTATTTCAACAAAATGATACATGAGAGGGCATTTGAAGGTCAGGAAGTTATATGGTTTTTGTCCCATTAAAAAATCCTTTTTAGCCAAAGCAGATAATTAACTAACTAGGTTCAGCACCACGCAGCAATGCAAAACAGGTCTGGTACTGGGCATTAATCACTATGATAAGAAATAAAAGCATGCAAAAACAAAGAGAGAATTGATAAATACTACCTCCATCCTCCGTCCCAAAATATAAGGATTTTTAGGGTTGGACATGGGTATTGAGTAGGTGGAATTAAATGGGGAAGGTTGTGATTGGTTGACAAGAGGAAGTACATGGAGAATTGGATGGTGGAAGGTTTCGATTGGTTGAGAAGGGAATGTAGCTGATCAGCTGCTATATTTTGGGACGGAGGGAATAGATTTTTATTTCTTTTTAAAAGAAAGACTCTCCTTTTGGTTTACATACAAAAAGAATCATCATCCATAGAGAAAAATAAGCCCAAAAGATTTCAGATTGTTAAAACAGTAATCATGCAGTAATTATGACTCAAGCAGAAACCTTTTTAATATCGCTTTGAGTGTTACAATCATCCTCCTTTGTTTCGCTATTCAACTTGGTTTGGTTGTCCCTAAGAAATTTCACACATAAAATCTGTTACATATTAGAATAAAGAAATCAATACTTTAACCTGAATCATTGCACAAGATGTGAATACTTTCATGCAATGCTGCATGTAGAGGCAAGAAGTGAGTAATACAATAATACATCACATACAAAATTTTGAATATACTCAATTATTGTCAGCATTATGTTGAATTTATATATAGAATAAACAACATAGCTTCAAATGAGTTCGAAGGATGGCATAGAAGACATAATATGAATGCCTAATCGTATTCAAGAAAAAAAATCTGAATGCCTAATTATTGACTTAAATATATATGGGACGTTGTTATGGTCTACACCGATGTCCTCAGCCTCTCACCATATATGAAATATCATAACATAAGTAATCACTTATCGTGACGTGGACGCGGAGTTAGCTAAACAAATCCACACATCTTAAATGCACAGAAAAAAAAAAGGAGAAATGTTATAGTTTATACTTCTAGACCTTTACTAGCATTCATTAACTTCATAAGACATGTGCTACTACATGAAAGGATTAGAACATTAAAACAAGAGTAGTGCAACTTCACATATGTAAACATGGATTGATTTTGCTTACAAATTAATAGTGTCATTTTTCAGTGATAATCACCCAGTAATTATATGTAAACTGGCATGGGATTATGCAGCCAACCTTTTGCAGTCTTAGCCATTATTATAGGCAATAACAAACGATATCACTTGACAACAAGTATATTAGTTGTCTTGAAAAATACGTTCCAAAAGTATATTTCAGGTTGTTTTACAAATAGATTATTACGAAAATCAAAGTTTTGCAATCAAGACAAGAAGTAATATATTTAGTGATCAAGTGGTACAATCAGAAAATTGCCATTTTTTTACTACTAGCATAGCGCTCATCTTAAGTATCCTCAACTCTAAAAATTATATACATACTACGAGATAGGAACCAGATTCACATGTGCATTGCATGCAACTTTATTTAAAAAAAAACTTATAGACGACATACACATTACTACAAATGCCCCAAAAGATTACGAGTGAAAGATAGGGGTAGAGCTAGGGATGGTAAAGGGCCCAACATTTTAGCCTAGAAAATTTGAGGGTTGGGTCTAAAATGGGGTGGGTTGAACTTTTATACATTTTCACCTAGAAATATAAGGGCTAGGTAGGATTGTGAAAGAACCCATGGGAATTGACCCATTACCACCCCTAAGTAGAGCACAAAATCACACCCAATTACTCCAATTAAAAGGACTAAATATATTTTATGCAACCTTTCTATTTTAGTTGATTACTATAATTTGCAACAGTGCAGTGTTTAGAAGTTTTTGTAGACACTTGTAATTGCTTATATTAAATATTAGCATTTAGCAGTATGCTAACAACACACTTCACATCGAGGAAATCCATAGTAAGTTGAAAGTAACTTAACTGCAGAAACACTAAATGTCTAATTTGAACTATGAATGTGACAAAACTATTGCAGTTAATTGTTTCCTTTCTAAAAGTAACATAGTTGATAACCGAAAAAACATCATGTATAAGAAAAAAAGTGAATTGCAATCTGGGTCATCTTTTATTGCCAAAATTTCACTTTGGACCATCCTTTCCCCAATCTTTTTGCTTTGCATTAGCAAATTTTATGTTTGTTGCACTTTGGACCACCCCAACTATCTTCCTGGCATTCCTCTGGCATCTTGTATGGCCTGGTGGAGGGAAGACGCCAGGTCACCAGCATGCCAGAGCCGATGTGCTCGAGGTCATTGATGTGATAAATAAGTGGTTTGGGGTGGTCCAAATTGCAAAAAGGTAAAATTACCTAGCCCAAAGTGGAAAGATTAGGCAAAGGTGGTCCAAAGCAAAACTTTGGCTATGAAAGGTGGATCAAACTCACTCGTAAGAAAATTATCATGCTAAAGGTAAGAATCATATGGCATCATATATAAGATATAAAGATAGTAGTTAAAGTGTGGTTTTCATTTGTTATAAATCATGGTCACATTAAATCAATCTGAATTGAAGGAAGAAAATAAAGGGTGCTCAACAACTACAGTTTGCAGACTACAAGTATCAGATCCTGGTATGCCAGATGCATTAGAATATGAAATATTTGCAGCCAATTACAGAAAGTAGTTTTATTAGCTTGTATAGATACTTTGCTGGCCAGTATTCATGTTCGTCACAGATAAAACAGTTTACCTGATTGAAGTGGCATAGTTAACATACCTCTTTGATATCTGCTCTTTCTCCAAGGTAACATCGGCTTCAGCTAGCATCACCTTCTTGGCATCATCGATACATGGTGACTTCAACTTTTTGGAACCACTATGATCCTGATCTTGGTGGGCTTTATCCTCGTTGCTGCAACCGGTGTGCTTTCCAGTGTTTGCCACCTTCAGTTTCTTTTTTCTGTGTCAAAAAGATGGATAACAGGATGAACAGAAATAACATACTCAACATAGCAATTGGAAAACCCATCAAAAACACATCAATGGGGAATCCAATCATTCAAATGGAAAAGTTTAATGGTTCGAGGCTCTAACAGAACACAAAATGGCATTAGCCTCAATAGGAAAATAAAATAGCTATTTTTGATGAACAAAGGAAGCTTTGGTGTTTTGAAGGTAGAATGATAGATACTAAATAGCCTTTTTCTCAAACAAAGATCAAGTAATTTTATTGTAAAAAGAATGAAAAAGGAGGATACTTTGAGGTCCCAGGTGATCCTCTTTCTCCATCTTGACATTTCCTCTTCAAAGTTATATCATCATTTCGTGTATTGTAGTGAGAAGCTGCATTGACTACATTCTGATGATTATACTGTACACCTTCTTGTTGATTGCTATCATCATCCTTCTTATATTCGATTGCGAGCATTTCATCGTCTGTTGGAAGTGGTTGTTTTTCTACTATCTCAGGACCTTCAATACAGTGCACATCATTATGTTGTGTTATCCTCTTGGAAGCTTTCTGTTTTACCCTGATAATAAAAAAAAAAGTAATGTAAAGCTGTAACATCATTTTTACAATATATGGTTAACATTTGTCTGCAAAAAAAGGTGAACAATTTAGTATGAAGACATGCTACTAGCAATTTCATCATTCATGTGAAGAAACTTTCCTCTATTCTACTGCTAGAATATTCCCTGTACCTTCCAATTTTACGTATTTGGGGATTGGTTTGATAGCTTTTCTATCTGGGGCAGTGGCATGCTGGACAATCTGGAAAGGAGCAAACGTGAACTGCTAACAGCCCAGATGATGCAAAGGATGTTGGTAGGAACAAGTTGTACTCTCTGTTGATTGCATGATATGTTATATGGGATGTAATATGTAAATAAGTGGCTTAAATTTGATGGTGTTATGTCGCTGGATGCCACTTCTATGTTCCATTTTATCTGTGCCACTTTGTTTAGACATATGGGGTTCAACATACAAAACTGAGCGTATTAATCCCTCCGCTTTCTGAAGAAATGTTGTCATACATGCATGCAGGTGGACCATGTACTTTTTGAACAAATGTTGTCATGCATATCCAAAATACTATTTCACTTCCATGCAGGTGGACCATGTATCCCCAATTATGTTATATGCAGACATAAGGTGACTAGGAATTTTTTTTTATATGCTATGTTCTTTCTGTTTTTGTACAAATAGGAAGAAAGATGAATAAACACAAATATGCAGCCACATTTCCTCTCAGTCAGTAACTCAGTATTACAGATGAAACCAAAAATATATGAGAAAATCCATAAAATGCCATTGACAAGCACTTTAATCCGAGAAATGCCATCGACAAAGGCAACTTCTCAAAAATGCCATTGCACAAGCCTGTTTCTCCCTAAAATGCCATCACCGTCAACTCCACACCGTTTCATCTGTCATTTTTTTCTGATAATGACCATTTTGCCCTCCGTGCAAAATATACCCAGTTTTTATCAAAGAAAAATGACCACGGCGCTCTAATCGATCCCGATCCAGCGCTCTCTTGGCGTTGGCGGCGGCTCGGCGGCGGTCCAAGGCGGTGGCACCGCTATGCCGGCGGTCCACGGGGTCTGCGAGGAGGACCAGGGCAGTGGCGCGGCAGGGTGTGGTGACGGCAAGCAACCCGGCGCCAGGGGCATGGTCCCGCAGGCCCACCACCTTGCAATGAAGGGGGGAACGCGGGTGGAGGCGGCGGCGGCGGCCCGGGCGTGTTAGGCACGGCGATGCAGATGGAGACGGCGGTGGCGCCTCGCGCGTGGTCGACGCGGACGGAGGTGGCGGCGGCGGCGGCCTGGACCTGGTAGGCACAACGGCACGGACGGAGACAGCGGTGGCGCCCCGGACGTGGTCGATGCGGACGGAGGTGGCGGCGGCGGCCCTGGCCTGGTAGGCACAGCGTCGCGGACAGAGGCGGTGGCGGCCCGGGCATGGTAGGCTGTCCTCGGCAGCCTCCACTGCGACCCCTTTGTCGTCCTCCTCACGAAGCTCACCGGCGAGTCCCGCCACCTGCAGAACGACCCACCGGCCCTTGTCTCGCAGGACCCCGGCACCGTCCCTGGCCGCGTTCTCCTTCATCGGCATGCACATTGACAACTTCCCCATCAACGTCGACAACAGGTAGGTTGCTAGTAGATTGTTCTTCTGATTGTGTAAAATTTACTCCTCTGATTTATGCTTCTTCTGAATGATTTGAGTGCTTTACTTGATTTGTGTGTTTCTGCCGGAAATTTACTTGCTTGCTTGGAGCCCAGCAAGACGGTCGCGTCGCCGGCGCCGGGTTGCAACGGTTGCTTGTCATCGCCATCTATGGGCCGGAGAGGAAGGCGACAACAGCGAAAGTTTTTTTTTCTCTAACCGATAGATTATTTTTTAAGCCCGGTCAAATACCGATAGTTTTTTACTCCCTCCGTTTCACAATGTAAGTCATTCTAACATTTTCCACATTCATATTGATGTTAATGAATCTATACATATATATCTATCTAGATTCATTAACATCAATACGAACGTGGAAAATGCTAGAGTGACTTACATTGTGAAACGGAGGAAGTAATTATTATCCTATCCGGGCTACTGTTGATCGATTAGTATTGAACGCTTATTTTTCAGCGACGATTAGTCAGCGAGGATGGTTGTGTGAGCAAATTGTTGTCTAGGGGTAAGATTGTCTTTTCATACAACTTAACGGAAAGATGCTAACACCAATTTGATGGTGATGGCATTTTTGGAAGAAAGAGGCTTGTGCAATGGCATTTTTGGGAAGTTGTCTTTGTCGATGGCATTTCTGGGATTAGGGTGCTTGTCGATGGCATTTCATGGATTTTCTCAAAATATATATATACCACAATAACAAATTAGCACATGCATGATTCACGTTCCATATCCTACAGTAAGCCCAAAGAAAATTTCGATGCACAAACAGAAACAGATACCTTATGATGTCATTGTCCCTGAAGATACAAGTCGACTCAAACGGTGGTAAGACGAATCCATCTATCTGCACAAAGAGACCACACTTCGCCGTCAAATTGATGATACAAAATAGTTCTCATATAGTCATATGAACAATGCGATCAAGAAACATGAGAAATGTACCAAGCATCTAAATCTACCTAGAAACCCTCGAATCAATGTCGTGCGAATCCAACACAGATTTCAGGGCACCCAATCAAAAAAAAAAACCCTGGAGATGCAAGGGGTTAGGGGAAGGGGGACGCAGAGAAATGAAGGAATCCGCACCGAGAGGATGACGCAGCTGGGGCAGGAGCGGCGGAGGCGGAACCGAGCCGCGATGTGCGCGGCGAGGTCGGAGACGGTGGACAGCTCCGGGGGGAGGAGGAGCCAGCAGCGGCGGAGGCCGCTCTCCCTCAGCGACCGCCGGAGGATGCGCTGGTTGTCGAAGACCAGGCGGAGCCTCACCGCCTGCGCCGGCGGCGTCGCCATTGGCGGCGGTTGCGGTGGTGCGAGACAGCGAGGGGGACGAGGGTTTATGCCTTCCTCGCTATTTTCCCCTTTCTTTGAGAGGGTTTGGGGCTTTCCGTCTTTTTGTGTGCGTAGGTACTGGATAGGCGTAAAACCGCTGCAAGTGCACAGCATTTTTTTTTAGAGATAATATATTGTATTCCACTGAAAATTTTGTCTGATCTCTGAAAATTGGCTCTTTCATTGTATGCCATTGATCCAAATTTACGCACCCTCTCATACCACTACCGTCAGTTGACCGTGTGTTGACTGTGTTAACTCTTAAGTAAAAAAGACATATTTGTTCTCTCTGAGTTATTAGGCATGTCCTATACTCAAAAGGGTAAATACGTCTTTTTTCCTTGAGAATTAACGGTCAACACACGGTCAACTGACGGGAGTGGCATGAGATGGTGTGCAAATTTGGATTAATGGCATATAAGGGAATAGCCAATTTTCAATGGCACATAAGGGATCAGACCAATTTTCAGTGGCATATAAGGGATTTTCTCTATTTTTTAATACTTTAGGGCCACTTCAGGGCCTATTTAGGGCCTGTTTAGTTCGCGAAATGAAAATTTTTTGATGTCACATCGGACGTTTACCGAATGTCGGAAGGGTTTTCGGACACGAATGAAAAAATTAATTTCATAACTTACTTGGAAACCGCGAGACGAATCTTTTGAGCATAATTAATCCGCCATTAGCACATGTGGATTACTGTAGCACTTAGGACTAATCATAGACTAATTAGCCTCAAAAGATTCGTCTCGCGATTTCTTCCCTAACCGTGCAATTAATTTTTCTTTTAATCTACATTTAATGCTTCATACATGTGTCTAAAGATTCGATGTGATGTTTTTGGGAAAAACTTGTTGGGAACTAAACGGGGCCTTAGTTGGTGAAATAAAAGTTTTGGGTATCATATCAAACGTTTGACCAGATGTCGGAAGAGTTTTTCGGATATGAATGAAAAAACAAATTTCATAACTCGCCTGGAAACCGCGAGACGAATATTTTGAGCCTAATTAATCTGTCATTAGCACATGTGGGTTATTGTAGCACTTATGTCTAATCATGGACTAATTAGGCTCAAAAGATTCGCCTCGTGATTTACATGCAAACTGTGCAATTAGTTTTTTCTTTTTATCTATATTTAATACTCTATACATGTGTCTAAAGATTCGATGTGATGTTTTTGCGAAAATTTTTTGAGAACTAAACAGGGCCTAAGGTGAAATGAAAATTTTTGGGTGTCACATCGGACGTTTGACCGGATGTCAGAAGTGGTTTTCGGACACGAATGAAAAAACTAATTTCATAACTCGTCTGGAAACCGCGAGACGAATCTTTTGAGCCTAATTAATCCGTCATTAGCACATGTAGGTTACTGTAGCACTTATGGCTAATCATGGCCTAATTAGACTCAAAAGATTCGTCTTGCGATTTACATGCAAAGTGTGCAATTAGGTTTTCTTTTTATTTATATTTAATGCTTCATATATATGTCTAAAGATTAGATGTGATGTTTTTGGAACTAAACAGGCCCTTAGCTCAGGTGTCTTTAGGGACTGAAATTCCGGCTATTTTGATTCTTTTAAAACGTATTTTAAAAATTGAATCATGCCAAAAAAATAAAGTTTAAAAAATTGACCCTAATGACGCTTATATCCCACATTCGACATCGACTTCGCTAGTAATTGTCGACTCTCGCCTCTATCGCCACAGCCACTCTCCAGTCAGGAGCCATCGTCGTCTTGGATTCTCGCTTATACAGGCCCTTAGCTCAGGTGTCTTTAGGGACTGAAATTCCGGCTATTTTGATTCTTTTAAAACGTATTTTAAAAATTGAATCATGCCAAAAAATAAAGTTTAAAAAATTGACCCTAATGACGCTTATATCCCACATTCAACATCGACTTCGCTAGTAATTGTCGACTCTAGCCTCTATCGCCAGAGCCACTGTCCAGTCAGGAGCTATCGTCGTCTTGGATTCTCGCTTATGACTAATTTATTTCAGATGTCATTTATCTTAGTTGCATCAAAACCTATGCATGAGCGTATTCTTCGTAAGACTGCTAGACTCCACAAAATACATATTATGCCACCTATATAAGATTAAGATTAAAGCCAATTAACGAGAGATAAAGTTTTGTATAGTAAAGTTGTTTGGATAATGTGTCGTCTCGGAAATAAATAAATATGATTTCTGAAAAAAATTATTCGAGATATGTTATGTTGAAACGAATATTCCTCTAGTCACCCCCAATTTATACATTCCGCTCCGAACACATGTTTGGTGCAGTATCATAATTCATATTAGCGTGTACCTTTTGTCTTTTTAAACTCATCGATCAAGGCTAGAGAGTATACCAACAAAACTAGGTAATTACAATATTTATCATGAATCGACAAGGTCTGTACAATTGCGTTGGTTCAATCTTCGTTCGTCATCAGGGCATGCACTCGGCTGGCAAACCCTGATCGACATTGGCATTGACCCTACCACGGTGACTATCGGGGCGAGTTGCCTCCTAACATGATGACGATCACAGAAAGCTAAAGAGCCGACATGACAATGGTAAACACCTAACGGGTCTCATGCTAATCATGTACCTTAGCCCCAAGTATCTTGGCACAACGCACCCCCCTAGTCCTATCATTTATTCCTTCTCCTCCCTCTCAAGCAAAACTCACCTTTCATTGCCCCTCTCTCTTCTATGAGAAATTCCATTATATACCACTCAATTCGTAAGCCTTCTGGACTTTTGCTATTCGATTTGCGTGCTTTTCAGAATTTGTTATCAGGATGCAAATTCAATCGGTGTGTAACATTTCGTTTATCCAACTATTCCATCCATCAAATGTGTGTCCATTGCTACTGCATTATACATCACCGATGGCGTCGCCATCAATGTGTATCTGCACCCAAGCAACCGACTGACGCCCCCACGGCCCCACCTATGCCCCATGCCACCATCCTTAGCAGTTGGCTCGACCTTGACCTTTGTTTGGTGCTGGGATGTGGAGGGCTTCGATCTGGTTCGGTGGAGGGACCGTGGACAATTTGCACTGATGAAACGAATCATCGAAGGTTATTGGGCCTTTGCATTGTCGGTTGAGCGGTTGACATGTGTACCTCATCAAGTTGTTTGGGTAAAGTGCCGTCCAAAAACCAAATAAGAAGATATGTTGGGTTGAAACCTAGTTAGCACAACAAACTTCTATTTGAATATGCTTCTAGCCACCCCAACTATTGAGTTATGTTCTGAACTCATGATTGGTATGGTATCACCACCTGCATTAGCTGTGCCTTGTGACTGATGAATTGTTAAACTCATTGATCAAGGCAAGAGAGTATACCGATTAAACTAGATTACATTAACATTTATCATGAATCAATAAGTTTACGTTAATTCAATCTTCGATCGTCATCAGGGCATCTGGGCATGCACCTTGTTGACGGACCCTCATCGATATTGGCACTAGCTCCTGCCATGGTGGCTATTAGGGAGAGCTTGCCCTTGACATGGGATGGTGATCACAGAGAATTGACAGGCCGAAATAACACTAATTGACGCCTAATGGACCTCATGCTAACTTTATATCCTAGCGCAAGGTGCCTTGGCATTCAGATTAAGGTCGGACACCACTTCTCACCCGCCCAAGCCCGACCTTTTATCTTCTTCCTAATGGTCCAATAGAACTCGCCTCCCTTACCTCTCTCCTCCATAAATTTTATTATGCTCCACTTAATTTGTAAACCTTTTAAAACTTGCCACCTACTCTTATCAGAATACTAATTAGCATGCCTATCAGAGCTTATTACCGAGGATGTGAGTTCTTTCATTAGGTCCTGTTTGAGAAGCCGTTGGATAGAGATTAAGTTGCACACACAAAATGAAAAAACCATTAGCGTATGATTAATTAAGTTTTAATTATTATAAACTTGAAAATAGATTTATACGATAGTTTAAAGCAACTTTTATATAGTAAGTTTTCATACTAAAACACCGTAGATGCAGGATAATGAAGATCATTCATGGATCGACCAACAAGAGGCTAAATAGATTGTTTGCTGAAGAGCACAAGACAAGTCCCAATTATACATGATGAGATAAAAAGATCAGCACCATATGATGTAAATTGCCAATAGACAGAAGTACAAACAAAGGTCAAAACCATTATCAAGTACAGGGACAAGCTGAAGCAAAACCAGCAAAGAACGCATTTACACGTGTTTTGGATTTCAAAAGAGAACAAAACTATAAAACAACTTGCCCTGTTCTATTCTTCAACTCCAAACTTCAACTTCCTCATTTTTCGTTAGCGTACTTTTCAAACTGTTAAATTGTGCGTTTTTTTAAAAAAAGTTTCTATATGAAAGTTGTTTTAAAAAACAAATAAATCCAATTTTCTAATTTATAATAGTTAATACTTAATTAATAATGAGCTAATGAGGTTTCTTATTTTGCGTGCAACAAAATTCTCTCTCCAGAACTGGAGATCGAACGGGGCAGTTAAACAAAGACAGCTACATTTACCTAATGAAGTAGTCAGTGGCACAAGTTTTTTTTTCCAGAAGCTTATTGAACTTTTTCCAATTATGTAATGCAAAAGATAAGAAAATCATCACATGAGCTAATTCATTACAATGTTCATGAACTCGAGTCATGACTAATAGATACTGCTTTGCTCTAGCGAAAGAAGTTCTGGCTTTTCTTGTCACAGTTTGCTTAACTACAATTCACTAATGCCTTGTTCGGTTTATCCCTAGAGAAAGGGATTGGAGAGGATTAAGGAGGAATAATTCCACACAACAATAGGTTTGGAATAAATCACTTCCAAATCTCCCTCAATCCTCTTGTGAGAGAGATTTTAACCGAACAAGGCATGAAAGGGAACAAAATTATCCCCAGCAGGGAAGCACAATCTTAGTTCATGACTTCTTTGTAATAATATACTTCATGGAACCCTATCAAATGGGCGTGTATCATTGTAGCATATATCCCACACAGACTCAACTGCATCTTTTGCAGCTGTCCCTGAGCAGTACGGGTTGTTCTTGACAGACATGAGAGCCCGCCTTTTAACACATTCCTTCAGAAATGCAGAAAATGTCAGAACGTACATAAATTCATAGAGGGTTTAGCAAAGCATATACACATATAGCACAAGTCGCAGAAAAAGGAAAAAAAAGATTAAGTTCACTTAAAATCAAGTCCATTTTAGAATCTCATTTCATAACACAACACAACAATATTTTTTTTAGGGTATATTTGAGGATGCACACCACACCCATGCAACTCCACACGCGTGCAAGTACAACACACACTTTAAGCCAGAAACTTGGAAGACCTATAGCCTTAGGTGCACGGGAAACATGCAGTACCACTGAATGTGCAAGCATGTATGTACCCTAACCATCTGGGACTCAACCCAGAGGTCACATGGGAAAATCACCCGGTGTGACATCCGCTGCTCGATCCAGGGATCGAGCATGGGCGGGTAGCATGGCAATAGCCACAAGAGCTACCAACAAGCCATGAGCTCGTTCGCATTGTGTTAACTGTCAACACCGCTAAGGCACTAACTTCTTTTAATCCACTCAAGTCATTTGCATAACTGATTTTTAGTATGTTAGATTTTGATATTATACGCATGTGCTTTGCCATTTGAGTCCGCAAAATGATAGAGCAGCTAAGAATAATGTGGAAAACGTGTGTTGCATGTGCAAGATTAAGAGCAGAAAAGGACACCATACCGAGCTTGACATGTAAAGTCTAAAGAACCAATGTCATAGCCTCATAGGTGGCACAAGCTCAACAGTAAGACAGTGAAAATACTTACTTGCTCGTGCCCCCTTATCTTCATGAAGCCACGCAACAATTCACGTTTATAATGGCAGTCACCACTAAGGTGATTAGCTCGAATCTAACAACAAAAAAATGCACTGTCAATTATCAATGTAAAGGTTTGTACTTAATGCTAGCATGCCAAATAGCCGATAACTCCAGCTTACATGTTAAGTATTTTGTTACCTCAGAGCAAGCATGGTGAGCACAGTTCTTCCAATCCATGTTCTTGACAACACAGTCATCATAGGCATGTATTAATTCATGAATTAATAGCTGATTTATCTCATCTTGAGACCGCATGTGATCACAGCACACAGTTATCTGGACATAAATAATTGCAAAATCAGGACAGTATTCTCGATACCAAACAACTGAAGGAAACAATTTAAGGCAAAAACACACTTCGCAACCACCATACCAAACACAAACATGTATACACACTTCCTAGATCCAAACCATATCCGCAATGCAAATTGCCAGAACAAAGTCTCGTCGGTGCCACACCTTGATTGTTTGGAAGGACAAAATGAAGGGGAAAGAGTCACATACCCCCAGCCCGCTACCGTAGGAACCATTGTGATTGGTAGACATGCAGTTCATCGCCCTGATCATCCGCGGTAGCACTGGGCAACCGGCCTTCTCCATTTGCTCCCTCAGGAACCGCACCGTCGGATCTGGTTCACAACGCAAATAAGGAAATCTTCAAAGAAAAAAAAAACCTTAGCATGCATTTGGTTGTAGGGTTTGGATGGATCAGGTTGGGTTGAACCCATTTTTCAGGGTGTTTGGTTTTGGGACAGGTGGGATGAGATGGACCCTGACAGGGAATATTCCCCTCAGATCCGGGTTGGCCTGACCCTTAAAAAACTGGCAGACCAATTCAACCCATTTTTTTTGATCCAACCCATTTTTTTCTCTCGCTGACATGTGAGCCGTCCCTTGAAAAGTAGGATCATCTTATCCCTCATGCCAAACAGACAGGTGGGACCATCCCATCCTTAAAAGCAGGGATGAGTCCTACCCATCCCGCCTCCTCCCCAAACTAAACACAATGCCATGGCAAACACATATACTTTGACACGCTCATACGTTGGAGAGCCGAGTTGATGCCGGCGACACAGTCCTCAGACGGCATGTGTCGGTTGTCCCCGCGGGCATCTGAGCTGGAGGCTGCCTCCACTCCGGCGGTTTCTGGCACACCGCTGCCGTCCATCCCAGACATTGTTCACTGGCTGGCTTCTGCAGCAATGACATTACTGAAATCAGATGCAGCAGAAATTTGATCGGATGGAGCCCGAATAATAGCTTTGTTTACATGTCCAAAGCCACTTAAATGTGTTTGGCTACATTGTCCATTTGCATTACGGCGTTTGGTTAGACTATGTATGAAAAGCCTACTTAACTGAGCAGTGCTTAGCATACAGGTTCATTACAAATTTCAGACAACCATTGTCTTGAAGCATCGTCGATGTATAAAATGGGGCATGACATTACTAAATTAAAAGGTAAATGTAGGACAATATGCATCAACAAATTGAAAAATTGGAGTACTGAAGAGCCACTCTTTAGTCCTTTATGCTTCATATAACTAAAGAAAGTTCCCTCGCTGGAAGGAAAAAAAAAACAGAAACGAGAAGAAGAAAGAAAGACACCATTTAACAGAAAAAAAAAGAAAGAGAAAAATTCAGCTCACAAACAAATCAAAGTCAGTGCACAAACAGATCAAGCTTGCCTTTGCTTGGCGGGCCAGCAGCGCGATGCAGCCCTGCACAACAATAGCACCAAATATTCTCCACGGGATGCATCTAGGGCTCAAAACCCAACAAATATTCTTCCCGCTATATCGGGTCGTCAGGGCAGAACGCCGGGGTGGCGGCGACGCGCGGGTAGGGTGGGGGGGGGGGTGGAGGAGGCTGGGAGAGCGTGGCCAGCGGCGCCGGGGGCTCGGGGAGCCGTGGCGGCGATGCGCGCGGAGCGGGTGAGCGCCGCCGCTAGCTGGGCAAGAGGAGCGCCGGGCAGAGCTCTCCGTTACGCGTGGGATGGAATGGAACGGTGGTATTCATTTTCTACTGGGCCGGGATTTGATTACGGGGTATCCGTTTCCGGTCCGGCCCACCTAAACCAAACGGACGTAACGATTTCTATTTGGAATAGGAAAAAGTCCACTTAGACTCCCTTAATTGTTCACCAAATCTAATTCGTGACCCTTAACTTAAAAACCAGGTAGGACGACTCTCCGAATTATTGAAACCAGTGCAATTTGACTCCTCTAACGGTTTTGGAGGGCGGTTTTGCTGACGTGGCACTGACGTGGCGGTGCTAACCCGATTTTCATTCCACGTGGCACCTACGTGGCATTAGAATTAAAAAAAATATCTGTGCGACCCATCTGTCATTCAAACACAAAATATATTATGGGACCCACCGATATATAGGGCCCACATGTCATCCTTTCTCCTTCCCTTCATCCTTCTCCCTCTCTCTCTCTCCCTTCTCTCTCTTTTCTCTCCCCCCTTCGGACCCATTGGTGGCGGCGGTGGCTGGGGGCCGGAGTGGCGACGACGGCGTGTGGGCGAGGGCTGGAGCGGCGACGGCGGCGTGCAGGCGATGGCCGCCACCGCCTGCCCCGTCATCGGAGGGCTCGAGGAGGACGCCGGCGTGGAGGAGCCCCGGGCAGCAGACGGAGAGCTTGTGGAGCGCGGCCCACGCCCTGGGCGCGTTGTCAGGTAGCCGTCCCCTGCACGCACCGACTACCACCGGAAGACAAGCAAGCAAGGAAGCAAGCAAGGAAGACGACATGAATACACAGAAGCAAGCAAGGAAGACGACGTGGATTAGTGCTTTGCTGCTTACCTTGTGGTTGACGGAGAGGGGGGCGGCTGGACGGGGACGCCGGCGCGGCAGAGGACGACACTGGAGTCGCCGGAGTTGGCGACGACGACGCGGTCGTGAATCGTGACAGGGGCAGGAGCAGCTCGGCGGGGAGCGCGCGCGTCAAGCGCGGGCGCGCGGCGGGAGGCACGCCGCCCTGAGCAGCGTGGCGAGCCGCAGCGACGCGCATGACGCCCTCGCCTAGTCCCGCGGGTCCCCTGCAGCCTCCCCAAGATTTGCCGGCGTCCTCCTCGAGCCCTCCGATGACGGGACAGGCGGTGGCGCAGCCTTCGCCTGCACGCCGCCGTCGCGGCTCCAGCCCTCGGCCGCCGCCACCACCGATGCGTCCAAAGGGGGAAGAGAAAAGAGAGAGAAGGGGGAGAGAGAGAGGAGGAAGGGAAGGAGAAAGGATGACATGTGGGCCCCACATGTCGGTGGGTCCCACAATATTTTTTTTGTTTGAATGACAAATGGGTCCCACATCAACAAATCGGGTGAGCACCGCCACGTCAGTGCCACGTCAGCAAAACCACCCTACAAAACCGCTAGAGGAGTTAAATTGCACTGGTTTCAATAATTTGGAGAGTCGTCCTACCCGGTATGGCAGTTAAGGGTCACGAATTAGATTCGGTGAACAATTTAGGGAGTCTAAGTGGACTTTTTCCGAATAGAACCGTAATATTAAATATCTCAACCCCTGAACTATTAAAACCAGTGCAATTTTACTCTCTCGGTGGTTTTGGAGGGCAGTTTCATTAGCGTGGCGGTGTTGACCTAGTCTTCGTCTCACGTGACATTTAACGTGGCGTTTATGTGCCATTAAATTAAAAAATATATATGGAACCCATTTGTCATTGATATGTGGGGCCCACATGTCATCCACCTTCCCTTCTTCCTCCTCCCTCACTCCCTTTTCTTTCTCTTTCAGTCTTTCTCTCCTCTTCACCGGTCTGTAGGGGAGGGAGCTAGACCGGCGGTGGTGGCAGGCGGCGGGCCATAGCGGCGATGAATCCGACGGCAGCAGCCAACGAGATGAGCAGCCATCACCATCGTTACCGCCACGAAGCACGTCGCAGAGCGACGGTGGAGGCAGCGGCAACGCGACAGTAGGGCGGCGGCGGAGCTCGAGGGAGTGATCGGTGATGGGCTAGAGTGGCAACGATAGTTGGGAGGGCGGCAGCCAACGAGATGAGCAGGCGGTATCTACCACCATCGTCACCACCACGAAGCACGTCGCGGAGCAGCAGTGGCGGTGGTGGCAGCAAATCGATCAATTTCCATCGCACCATCGCCGTCTCCATCGACGGAACCATGCTTCGCGACTGCTCCTCATCACCGCACCGCTTGGAGAAGGAAAGAGAGGGATAGCGAAGGGGTCGTCGTCGCCACTTGTCCCGGCAACGGCGCCGCGGGGAGGGTCGGGGAGGCCACCGCCGACCCGCAGGGAGGGGTGTCAGTGATGCTGTGCAGGTCCTCGGTGGTGGCAGGCGGTGATTCGGCGCAGATGCCGTCTTCCGTGGAGGGGGAGAGAGAGAAAACGAGAGAAGGGAGAGAGAGGGAGGAGGAAGATGGGGAGAAGATATGTGGGTCCCACAATATTCTCTTTTCTGTGTGAATGATAAATGGATCCTACATTTTTTAAATTCTAATGCCACGTAAGCGCCACATTGGGTGAAGCCATGTCAACATCGTCATGTATGCACCATGTCAAACCGCCGTCCAAAACCGCTGAGGGAGTCAAATTGCACCGGTTTAAATAGTTGGGGATAGAGATATCCAGTATTGCGGTTTAAGGACACTGATTGGATTCTGCCACTAGTTAAGGGGGGTGAAAGTGGACTTATTCCTTTAATAATGCTGGGTCAAAATCAGCCTAATTAAACATGGTGTGTCTAAAGAGATATTTCCGCATAAAAAAACTCGCTATACCCGGTTCCGCATATGCATGCATTTATGCTCGTAGCCTATATCCGCATCCATAATCCCCATCCATAGCGGGTTTGCATTTGTGTGTAGAAAGAGCCACATAACATACCATATTATATTACTTACACTACAAAAGATCCGTATTATGATCCTGTGTGGAAATACATTGAGAAAATTCGGTCCCGTCGGTTCTAGACAATCTTATTTTTCTGCACATAAAGAAATAAAGAAGCCATTGCAATTGCCGGAAATACTAAGCCTACTAAAGGCACGAAAATAGAGGGTAAGTTAAAATCCATCATAGAATAGGTGTCTCCATTCAAATTTACTATTTCTATCTATTCGATTTGATCTATTCAAAAAATATCTTAAGATTCTTATGATATAATTAAGTATATCTATTATAACGAATATTGACTATTGTATTTTTGAGTTTGCAAAAAAAGATTTTTTATAGTATAGAATACTTTTTTTTAGAATACTTTAGTATTCTAAAAAAAAAAGAATCGAATGGATTATATAAATAATAAGAAAATAGCAAAAAAGGAGAAGCAATTAAAAAGATTTGATTTTTCTTTTCCGATCCTCGCGGCCTTTCTATCCTTCTAATCGAACTTGAAATTGGATTCAAAGTACGACTTAGTCGAATGCACCTATTTCGAATCCAAAATCTTTTTCGTCTACTTCCTTCCACATGCAATACTTATTCAACCACTCTCGGACCCCACAAATCCGCTTTAAGGATTGATACATAGGACTTTTAGTTGATTGATATTGCCGTAAAGTTGAAACTTTTTTAGGCTTTTTTATTAAACTGTAATTTCCTCTCTGCATACGTGCTCTTCTAGAAGCATATACAATAATGCGCGGTAAAGGAGGGAAAATAGCATACTCAATCAAGGGACAAATTCTTTTACCTACTACAGATCTCATACTACCCCTTAGACTTTGTAAGGCCATATACCACCCCCAAAGGGTATGAAAATACCGGATGACCTTAGCTTTTCGACGAATCCTCGTCTCGTGCAGCGAAGTCCTGTTAGTAAGACCCCGCGCAAAAATGGATTATATAAGAATATAATTCCGAAAGGGTGGCCTTACAAAGTTAATGATGTTAGTTAATGATGTTTCCATTCTCATCCTATTCTTTATTACATTAACTAAAGCTTATTTATTTCTCTTCATTTCTATCACAATAAGATGGACTTTACCCAGGATGAGAATGGATCAGTTATTAAATCTTGGATGGAAATTTCTTTTACCTATTTCCCTGGGCAATCTCTTATTAACAACTTCTTCCCAACTTGTTTCACTATAAAATAAGATAATACAATAACAATAAGAATATTTTCAACACAAAAGTCCTCTCAAACAAGAGAAAGAAACATACCTTTTTCATAGATATTTCGAATATGTTCCCTATGGTAACTGGGTTCATGAGTTATGGTCAACAAACAATACGCGCAGCAAGGTACATTGGTCAAAGTTTCATAATTACCTTATCCCACACAAATCGTTTACCTATAACGATTCACTACCCCTATGAAAAATCAATTACATCGGAGCGTTTCCGGGGGCGAATCCACTTTGAATTTGATAAATGTATTGCTTGTGAAGTATGTGTTCGCGTATGCCCTATAGATCTACCTCTTGTGGATTGGAGATTTGAAAAGGATATTAAAAGGAAACAATTGCTTAATTATAGTATTGATTTCGGAGTTTGTATATTTTGTGGTAATTGTGTTGAGTACTGTCCGACAAACTGTTTATCAATGACTGAAGAATATGAACTTTCTACTTATGATCATCATGAATTGAATTACAATCAAATTGCTTTGAGTCGGTTACCAATCTCCATAATGGGAGATTACACAATTCAAACAATTAGGAATTCAACTCAAAGTAAAATAGACGAAGAAAAATCTTGGAATTCAAGAACGATTACTGATTACTAGAATTTTTTTGTTAGAATCCAAAAGTTCTTTACTAACTAGAAAGAAAAACGAATACCTACTGCTTATTGCAAATTATTCCTGATTTTAAACCAGAGTAGATTTTCGTGATGTGATTTCTAACTATAGAAAGAACTTATATACAATATACAAAAAAATTTCCTAATCCCTTTTTTCTTCCTTGAATCTTTTAGTTTTAGTCAGTTCATGAAAAAATTTATACTATTAATTTCTTCTTATCCATAATGGATTTACCTGGGCCAATACATGAAATTCTTGTGCTATTTGGGGGATTTGTTCTTCTACTAGGGGGTCTAGGGGTGGTATTACTTACCAACCCAACTTTTTCTGCTTTTTCGCTAGGATTAGTTCTTGTTTGTATATCCTTATTCTATATTTTATTGAATTCCTACTTTGTAGCTGTGGCACAACTTCTTATTTATGTGGGAGCTATAAATGTCTTGATCATATTTGCCGTAATGTTCGTAAATGGCTCAGAATGGTCTAAAGATAAGAATTTTTGGACTATTGGAGATGGGTTCACTTCACTCGTTTGTATAACTATTCCTTTTTCACTAATGACTACTATCCCAGATACGTCATGGTATGGAATTCTTTGGACTACAAGATCAAACCAAATAGTAGAACAGGGTCTCATAAATAACGTTCAACAAATTGGGATTCATTTAGCAACCGATTTTTATCTTCCATTTGAACTCATTTCCATAATTCTTCTAGTTTCTTTAATAGGTGCAATTACTATGGCTCGGCAATAAGAAATACTTAGAATGAGTCAAAATTATAAGAATTTCAAATCTAAAATAAATCACTAAAGAACCACAATTTTGATTTAGTAAAACCCATCTACTGCCAACAAATACCTTCTTTTCTCTTTTGTTGTGTAATTGTTCTATTCTAATTAATTCAATCGGTTCAATTCTTGTCCCCATATTGAAATGAATCGAGATTGATAAGGAGTTAGTTAATGATGTTTCTCTTAACATCAAGAGAAACATTGAGAAACAAATTCATTTTTAGCTCTTTTCATTTGTTCCAAAATAAATTTATTTTTAGAGTAATCATTATATCAGAGTTTATGAAAGTATAAAATAACTATATTGTAAATAGATAAAGTGATGAATAGTGACATTGAGATTTAATAAAGTAGGGGTATTCTAGTCTTTTTGCTTTTTATTGGTACGGGGACGGATGTAGTATTTAACTATTTGCCATTTTTAGACGTGGCAATTAACTAGTATTTGTTGAGAACTCACATCTCATTGATATATATAGATAGTAAATAGTTAAACGATAAAACTAAAAGTGGCAAATAATTAAATACCCCGCGTCTAAAACGTTGCAACCACACTTCCCCGCCCCTCCTCCCAATCGTTCCCATAGTATATGTAGATGGTTTTCCAGAGGAAAAAGAAAGATTAAGAGAAAGTGAAATACCAACCAATGAGAATATTTTTCATAGAAATATTTGTGCGTATAAACTTTATACATATAAATACTTATATTGAAACTTTATACAATTAAACTATACGCGTAGAAACTTTTAATATAGCAATATTCTTATAGGCATATAAAGTTTTAGTGTATATATTTTTCCACAAACTTTAATAAGAAAATTATATGGTGCAAAAATGAGCTGACCTGTGCGAAAATTACGAGCAGGTCGAGCCCATTAAAAAAAACCGCAAGAAACATCTAGGCTAAACGTGCAAAAGAAAAAGGCTAAAAAATGCATTTATTTTTCAATAATCCTCACACTACTTAAAAAAAGATCTTTCCTGATAGCCTGATGGCTAGGCTAATCGCGTGCGTCTAAATGCCAGTGAAAATCTAAGATCTTCACAAGCGGGACTTCAACCGCTAGCGACAATCGTTTTCGTTGGCAATTGCGTTAAACCGGCCGCCTGTCAGTGATAATCGATTTTGGGAAAAAAAAACCCATGTAGCTACCCTCTAGCCGCCAGCAAAGATGAAACTTGAAAAGTAAAAATGAATATACCCACGTGTTGCTGTCCATCCCCAAATCCCAAATCCATAACGACGAGCACAAATTCCACAAAAATGGTTTGAACATGATCACAGAGCACAAAAATTCCACATTCACGTTACAAAACACAAATTCTCCAAATTCCACGTCACAGATCGAGCACAAAAATTTCACATCACATCACAGAGAACGAGGTGGGGATGGATTCGTTCACCCGTGGATGGCGAGCGGCGGATCCGCTCTCTCGGGACTCTCCGGCGCCGGATCTGCTCCCCACCGCCCCTCCCACGTGCCTCTGCCGCCGAGCGCCGCCACCGCTCACTCCCCCGTGCCGCTCCCGAGGACCGGCGACAGATCCACTCTCCCGAGGCTCACTGGTGCGGGATCCGCTTCCCGCCACCCCTCCTCACGTCGCTGACGCTGAGAACCGCCATCGCCCCTCCCCGTATAGCTGACGTTGAGAGCTGCCGCCGCCCCATCCCTGTGCCGCTCCCGAGGTCCGGCAACGGTGGATCCGCCCTCCCAAGGCTCGTCGACGCCGGATCCGCTCCAAGCCGTTGCTGTTGCCCCTCTCCCGTGCAGCTGCTGGATCCTCCTTCCCTGCACCGCCGCCCCCTCCATCCTCGTCATCATCACCCGACTCGGCCCAC